CGTCAGCCTGCGGACTGAACCCGGTTTCGATTCCGGTCAAGGGCATGTACCTTGGTTGCTGGCACATTCCCAGTAGAGGGTGTGCAAGAGGCAGCTGATTGATGATTCTCTCTCATCGATGTTTCTAACTATTCCTCTCTCTTCCTCTCTGTAAAAAAATCAATAAAATATATTTTTTAAAACTAGAGGCCCAGTGCATGACATTCATGCACTTGAGGGGGTGCGGGAGAGCAGGGGGCTCAGACTGGCCTGCACCCTTTAGCAGTCCAGGATCCCTTGGGGGATGTCAACTCACAGCTTAGGCCCAACATTCTTAGGGAGAGGTTCCTGCCACCACCTCTGTGCTCACCAGCTGTGAGCCCAGCTTCTGGTTGAGCAGTGCTTTTCTCCCCTCCTCCCCCACCGTGGGAGCGTACTGACCACTAGGGGGCAGCTCCTGGGTTGAGCATCTGTCCCCTGGTGGTCAGTGCGTGTCATAGTGACCAGTCGTTCCACCGTTTGGTTGATTTGCATATTACCCTTTTATTATATAGGATCATAAGTTAAACTCATATTTCTACTAGCAGTTGCTGGGCCGTACTGCGTGATGACAATCACTTTGTTTTCCAGTTAGGAGCCACGGGAAGAAGCAGGCATTGTGCAGATTACTTACAACTCCATGGTGCCTACACCATTTGGCCAAAGAATGCTAAGAATGTGCAGCTGCTGCTCCCACGAGAGGTTCCTGAGGGCACCAGCTGGTGTTGAACACCCAGCTGTTGTTAATTTGAGCTGAAGATTGTTAATTGTTTTTCTATTGAGATTTGTTAAGTAGCATTTTAGAGTACCAAAACTATAATTGCTGCATTAGTAGGCCGCTGAAAGAAGAAAAATAGCTGGAACACGGCATTTGGCCTCGAAAGGCGCGTTCAAAAATACCTTTTCCACATGAGTGGTTTCCAGCCATCCCAGGAAAAGAGTTTCTAGGTAAATCGGTGAGGAGCTCAGGCCTGTGTGTTCCCCTTACTCATTTATCTGGAAGCTCTTCTCCCCTGAGTGGCCTTCTCTTGTTTCTGTTGTCTCAGCAGACGGGAGCCATAATGCTGGGAGCAAACAGCATTCGCTGGCAAGCACCTGGTCCTAAGTGGCCAGCCTCTGTGACCGCTGTGACTTCTAGCCCACCCATGACCACGCGGAGGGGTCTAAACCCTCCACGCTTGGCTTAGAGCAGCTGTGTGGATGAGCAGAAGATAGAAAACGGGGCCTTTCCTTTATTTCCACCAAAGCCAAGGACAGGGAATGAGAGACCCTTCTACTGATGAGAAACAACAACTGATGTTGTTCCTCAAATGGGGAAGTTGCCAAATATCCCAAGCAAGGGCTTTGGGTGTGAAGAGAGGCAAGCCAGAGATAAGTCATACATCTTCACTACCATCGGAAAACATCAATCATGTTTTGCATTTTAATGTTCAATATTCTCTTGACCAATAAAACCTGGGCTCATCGGGTGTTTGTGGAGCACCTCCTGTGTGCAAGGTGCTGTGCTAGTGGGGAACCTGGAAACCAACTGTCAGCCAGGCCTCGGGTGCCCAGGTGCTATGGAAACCACCCACTCCCCCAGGGGGAGGGGCGAGGGCTGTGAGTGGTAGAAGGGATGACCTTCCAGGATGAGGACCTCAAAGAGCAAAAGCACAGTGGCCTGGAAAAGCACATCGTATGGAAGGGATGGTATGTGGTTGGACATGACTGTGCTGGACAAGGATAAGAAAGTGGGGGAGGGGAAGGGATTGGAGGGGTTAAACGCAACCAGAATCTGGCTGGTTGAATGCCCCTCTAAGGGGTTCAGAATCTGTGCTGCGGGGACTGGGAAGCCATTCAATTCTATGGAGCTGGGAAGTGACATGCTTTTCAGGCAAATCACCCTGCTGGCAGGTCTGCTGGACTCCAAAGCCTCTCCCACCCTGCTGCAGAGGGGGACGCTGCCGAGTGCCGTGACCTGAGCACCTGAGCTTACAGCGGGCGAGAGGGGAGGAGCGCCCCAGAGAGCCAGAGCCAGGCTTCAGCCCTCGACCTGCCACGTACTGGCCTGAGGCAGTGGAGTTACCTTCGCTATGTCTCTGCTTCCCCATCTGTAAAAGGGGGATAATAACAGGGCCTGGTTCCTAAGGCTGTTTCAAATCGATGCACATACCAGGTATACTGGTTAATAATGTGGATTTTGTAATGAAAGAAAACATGATAATTTCAAGAGAAACATCGAAAGTGCTTTATTCAAAGTAATGTCCATCGCTAGCTACACATTTCCCCCATCTTTCAGGTAGTTTGTGTTAATACTGTCCCAATAGAACTTTTCTTGTTTTGAGGCAAACTTTTCAGAGACCCAATTTTCCGCTTCTTCATTTTGAAGTGCTGCTCAGAAAATGTGTGTGCCAAGTGGTAATCTGAAGGTCTGGTGAATACAGCAGGTAGGTTAATACTTCCCAGGCAAGATCTTTTAACGTGTCTTTAACTGGTTTTGAAGTGTGTAATGGTGCATTATCATGAAGCAAAATTACTTTGTCATGTCTTCTGACCCATTCTGGTCTTTTTACAATCAAAACATGGGTCAAATTGATTATTTGTTGTCGGTAGTAATCAGTATTAATCATTTCACCTGGATTTAGAAGCTCATAATTCACCACACTTTCCTGATCCCACCAAACACAGAACATTGTCTTCTTCCTGAAGCAATTTGGCCTTGAGTCGATGTTGATGGTTGACCTGGATCAATCCATGATTTTGTGTGTTTGAGATTCTCAAAATAAATCCACTTTTTGTCACCAGTCACAATTTGATGCAAAAAAAGACTCTCTTTCATACCATTGAAGCAACACTTTACCGATGACTTTTCAGTTGATGTGGCACCCATTTTCCTTCCTTTAAAATCTTTCCCATTGCTTGTAAACTATTGGAAATTGTTTGCTGAGCAACATTTTATCTTTCTGCAAGTTGTTTTTGAGTTTGACATGGATCTTCATCCAATAATACTTGTAATTGTTGGTCTTCAAACTTTTTTGGTTGACCTGGACGTTCTTTGTCTTTCCATCAAAATCATCACTTTTAAAGCATTTAAACCAATGTTCACAAGTATTTTAAGATAGAGCATGTTCACCATAAGCTTCCCAAAGGATACAATAACTTTTTCTTCAAAATAATGAATCAAAACTTCCCACAAATGCTCTTTCTTTTTTTTTTTTTTTTGGCACAAAATTCGACATTTTTTAAGCATAAAAATATCTATGATGTTAACACCTTCAGCAAGTTTAACAGATGAAGTTTTGAAGCTTGTTGTCAATACAATAAAATAGCGTACATATCAAAACACACATATATCAGTATATGTGTAACTCCATCTATTGAAAAAAATCCGCATTATTAACTGGTAAAATGCTTAGAGCAGTGACTGGCACAGTAAGCTCTTGGCCTCGTTTAGCTGTTATTACTTTCAGATGTAAAATCCTACAACTTAGCAACTAGTTGCCATTGGGAGGGGAGGGTAAGGGAACAAGTGAAATGTGTAATGCTCATCAAAGGAACATGGCAGATACCCAGAATTAATAACAATAACTAGAAAACAGCAGAAAAGCACATTGAGGGACCTTGCAAAGTAACTTTATAGGAATCTTCAAAGTGTCAATGATTTATAGTGACAGGAGAGTTGACTTTGGGTAGTAAGCACATGGTGCAATGTACAGATCTTATAACATAGAAACCCCCACCAGAAACATGTATGTTCATGTTGACCAATGTCACCCCAATACATTTAATTTTTTTAAAAGTGTTGAGGAGCCCAGCCGCCGTAGCTCCGTTGTTGAGTGTCAATCTATGAACCAGGAGGTCACGGTTCAATCCCCAGGGCACATGCCCAGGATGATGGTGATACCTGTGGGGAGCATGAAGGAGGCAGCCAATCAATGATTCTCTCTCATTATTGATGTTTCTCTCTCCCTCTCCTTTCCTCTCTGAAATCAATATGTATTTTTTAATTTTTTTAAAGTATTGAGGAAACACAAAGGAACTGTTCTACCCTGTAGGACACCAGGAAGACATGACAACTAAAGGCAACGCCAGATTTAGAAATTGATCCATTGGCTTCCAAAGACACCAGTGGGGCAGCTGAGATGATTGCACTGACATTTTAGTGGGTCTGAGGGGGCAGCTCTGCAGAAGCCTGTGCTCAGCTCCTTTTCCTAAAGAAATGACACCAAGGGCCCCAGAGTGGGAGGCATCAGGTGGGCAACGTATGCTCCGATGTTTCAAAAGTGTTTCTGTGCTCTGCTTCTAAGTCTTCTGTAAACTGGCGATTGAAAAAGGAGAGCAATTTATTTTTCAATGAAGAGCCGGCGTTTGTGGAGCATCTCTCTTTAGTAGACACTGAGGCCACGCTTTCACAGGAGCAGGCCGGTTCCCCGGGAAACGTGTCTGGCTTGCCTCTCTACCCAAAGGGCACCCCACGCCTCTCCTCTCAGACACACCGGCCTGAGCGCCTCCCCACCGCACCGCCGGCAGTCCCTGCTTGCAGTTTGTCTGTGAGGCCTGCGCCCTCCCTGGGCAGTGAGCCCTCTGAGGGCGAGGACTGTAGCCCATTCTCCATGTAGCCCATCGTCCAGCACAGCCCCTGGCAAATCGTAAGTGCTCAGTGTGTGCTCGGTGAATGGAGCACTGAGGCCTGTCCGCCGCGGCGAACACAGTCGAAAGGAGCCCTGGCCCGTGTGGCTCCGATGGGTGGGTGCCCTCCTGTGCGCGGAAAGCTGTCCCATTCCATTCGGGTTTCGGGCTCGAGCCCCGGGAGCGGGTGTGCAGGAGGCAACCAAATCAGTGTGTCTCTGTCACATCCATGTTTCTCCCTCTCTGCCTTCTTCTTCCTCTCCTGCTCCCTCTCCCTTCTTTTCTCTCAAAACATCAACTTAAAAAAATCTTTTTTAAAAAAAACATGAAGCACCAAACTTGGGATGCATGTCTGATGCGTGACTTCTTTCCAGGTGGCCCGGGCTCTGGCAAAGGCACGCAGTGTGAAAAGCTGGTGGAAAAATACGGGTTCACACACCTCGCGACGGGCGCGCTCCTGCGTCACGAGCTGTCGTCGGACTCGGAGAGAAGCAAACTGATCAGAGACACCATGGAGCGCGGAGACCTGGTGCCCTCCGTGAGCAGCAGCTGCCTCCCGGGCTGGGGGGGGAGAGGGGGGGTGTTATGGGGTGTCGCATTTAGTCTAAGCTGCTGGAACCAAGGAGCCCAAAAGGACGAGAGCTGTATTCGATTTCTCTCTGTGGGCTGTCAGAGGCAGGCAGGAGACCCACGCTGTCCAGGCCCAGGTCCTGCTGCCTGGTGCCCTGCCAGCTCCTTCAATATTAACCTATCTTATCTTTTCTCCCAAACTGGCCCCACTTTAGAACTGAAAAATTTTTTTAATATATTTTATTGATTTTTTTTTTTACAGAGAGGAAGAGAGAGGGAGAGAGAGTTAGAAACATCGATGAGAGAGAACATCGATTGACGGCCTCTTGCACACCCCCTACTGGGGATGTGCCCACAACCAAGGTACATGCCCTTGACTGGAATCAAACCCGGGACCTTTCTGTCCGCAGGCTGATGCTCTATCCACGGAGCCAAACCGGTTTTGGCTAGAACTGAAATATTTAAAGCAGAGATGAAACATTGTACAGCAAGGCCCAGAATACAACCCCATGTAAAAGAGAAAATAAACTTTACATTATTTTGGGAGGTAGGATAGCATTATCTTGAAATTTGGTTATCTCCCTTGGGTAGGATAAGAATGCTAGTATGTATCTTTCTTATGTATCCTTGTTTATATGTTTTTTCAAGTCACCATCCATTTCTGAGAAGCTGGATGCCACAGATGTCAAAAAATAGTCATTCCTGCCGAAACCAGTTTGGCTCAGTGGATAGAGCATCAGCCTGCGGACTGAAAGGTCCCAGGTTTGATTCCGGTCAAGGGCATGTAACTTGGTTGCAGGCACGTCCCCAGTGGCGGGTGTGCAGGAGGCAGCTGATCAATGTTTCTCTTTCATTGATGTTTCTAGCTCTCTATCTCTCTCCCCTCCTCTCTGTAAAAAAAAAAAAAAAAAAAAAAAAAAAAAAAAAAAAAAATCAATAAAATATACTTTTTTAAAAATAGTCATTCCTCCCACGCTAAGTCCCAGGGTCTGTACCTGGGCTCGTGCAGTGCAGCCCTGTTAGCTAACGGAGCTTTGTGCTCCCCCTTGGCCAGCTGCCCTGCCAGAAAGACAGAATGGCTCTCGTGGAAGACAGCAAACCCCTGCAATTGCCTGTTAGGTGGCTTCCTTGTGGCCATTCCACCCTACAGTTTACTCTTTTTACAACAAGCAGAATGATTCCTTGAAAGTGTTTATTAAGTATTATTCCCTTCCCTAGCACCTTCCGGTAGCTCCCCGCCACACTTATATAAAATCCAGAGTCCTTCCTGTGGCTCTATTCCCACCACTGACTGTGCTCGCACTCAGCAGCCACTGTCCTCCTCATTGCCCCTCCCACAGGCCCGGTGTTCCTTTGCCCGTCCTCAGCCTGTGTGCACTTCCGTCATATGGGCACATAGATGCTCCTTTACTTCTTCACCCAGATCCCTAACTCAGTGTGGCAATTTATCAAAGAGGCCCCCCTTACCACCCTGTATCTCTTAGCCTGTTTTAACTTAGTCCCCGGTGGTTCTCTCTAGCTGACTATTACTTATTTATCTGTTCATCTATTATCTGTCTGCCTCACTAGAATGTAACCTTCCCGAGGAGTTAATTGGCCATGATCTAGGGATAGTGTCTGTGATGCCTGCATTCTCCGAGACCCTTCCCAAAGCCGGGGGAGGCCCGGGAGCCAGGGAGCAGGCTGGGGGCATCGCTCCTGCATCCATTCCCACGCTCCCAGACATCTCTCCTCCTTTATTTGCTATAAGCAAGGTTCCAATCTAAGTTTTGACCAGAGAGCGTGATGTTGCTAGAAAATGCTACTTCATAGCTACTGAAAATCTTCTCAAGTTACTGGATGTCAAACCTTGTACTACATTTGCTGGAACAAATCAACAGCATGTTTCGCCCAGTTTTAAACTGCCATTCTGCCTAACGTACGGGGTGCTGCCATGTGCACTGTGGCCACTGTATTTTATCTAATCTAAGATGCCATTATTGTAAAATACCCCCGTAAAAGATAACCAGTAAAAATATACCAGTAAGAAAAAATAAAAATAAAACACTAACAATTAAATTATGCCCAGCACTGCCTGTAAGATACCAATTTCAAAGACATTAAGATGGGTGTCAGGGAGAGAAGGAGAATTGGAACTGATGAAAACCAGCATCTGAACCCCCTTTCCTCTGGGCCGGGCTGGGGGCCGGGCTGGGCAGGGAGCCCTGGGCCCGGCAGGTGATGCTCGGGAGGAGCTCAGGCCTGACCCGGTCCCTCCGGTCCCTCCTCTGCAGGGCGTCCTCCTGGAGCTGCTGCAGGAGGCCATGGCGGCCAGCCTCCGCCACACCACCGGCTTCCTGATCGACGGCTACCCCCGGGAGGTGAAGCAAGGCGAAGAGTTTGGGCGCAGGGTAAGCGTCCTCTTGAAGGTTATCTCGGGAGAGACATGTGGGGTGTTGCTGAGGTTGGGAGATAAATTCAAAGTCTCTTGCCTTCCCAGTGACACGAATCAAAACTTTCAGTTACAAGTGGCAGGAGCTCACATAAAGTAGCAAGAAAAGAAGAAGGGGTGGTAGGGACGGAGTTATCAGTTCTAGTAGCTAAACCGCCCAGGAGTGGCTCACGCTTGATCGGATCTACATATCAGATTAGCTTACCCATCGTCGGACTTCTCCCCACTCCTTCCTTTGTGTTGGCCTTATTTTCTTCCTGTTCCAGGCTTCTCTCCCACGTCTAAGTGGCCTCGCCGCAGAAAGGGGTTTCCGTTTGCCAAAGGGTCCAGCAGAAGCACCGGGTCGTTTCGTTATCCTGGGTTATTAGGTCACGGGCCCATCACTGACCCACTCACTGCGGCCAGGGGGAAGATGGGAGGGCCGCTGATGGGATTCCCAAGAATATCCCCATCCGGCCGGGAGGACCATGGCGGAGACTGGAGGGACAAGGGAGAATGGATACCACACATACTGAGAAAGGGAAGGGAATGGCCTGGGGAAAAATAGGAATGCCCTTCGAAGAAGGCAGAGGAATGGACAGGCAGGTTCAAATATTTGCCATTTCAAAAAATGTACAGGTGTGCCCTCTCGTTACTGAACTCAAGATCCTTCTCTCAAAACGGTTTTTTACACTCTGCTGGGAGGAGTTTGCAAAGACCCAGCATGGTATTAATTTGTCCCTGGGTGCAGTACATTTACTAGTAGAAGACTCTAATATCAATTGGACTTGTGTGCAAAAGCACACATACAACCTTTAAGCTTGACCGGAACAACAAAGATGCTACACACACAGAATGAGCTGTTATTGATTCATGCCCTGCAGGGACCCCCTCCAAATTACAGGCAGGTGATTAGTTTGAAACTTGGCAAAGACAAGTACAGACTTCTGCTTTTCCCCAGAAATGTGCAGCAATCAGCCTGGTTGAGAGCCTCGTGAACGGTTCTTGTACACCCATCAAGCCTGCAACTACCTGTGAAGCCCTTCCAGGCCTGTGATCGGTTTTGACTGGACTCTGGGCAACGCTCCAGCCTTTCCGTGTCAGAGATAGATGTGCCTGGCGCATGGGGCCATCTGTTGCCGAAAAGAAATCCAGTTCAGTCCGTTCGTTAGGCTGACACTTTTGCATGCCTGTAACTGACTGAGTTCTCGGAGGTGTAAGATCCTTTGAGGATTTGCTTGGCTGCTGCACATGACATCCTTAAAGGCCAAATGCAAACCACAGCTATGTCCACAGTGTAGGGCTAAGTCTGTATGTGATCTCTCTAGTACCTTCCTATTTTCCGTTCCCAAGGCTAGTTTTTCCCTTCATTGGATTGATCAGTGCCTTCTGTATCTAACAGGGTATATTAGGGGAGGCAGGGTGTCAGCAAGGGTGTGTGTGTGTGTGTGTGTGTGTGTGTGTGTGTGTGAGAGAGAGAGAGAGAGAGAGAGAGAGAGAGAGAGAGAGAGAATATGAAGGAGGAGCTGGGGTTTCTAACCATCATCCCCATCTCCCACCCCAGTCAAGAACCCCTGGTTACAGTGACTTTGGGGTTCACAGGGCGTTATCCAGAGCCCGGCTTTCTAACTCACTGGCAAGAGCTCAATTTCTCTTCTATAAAATGTAGATTGAAAAGAGGCACCTCATTGCTTGTTGGGATAATTGGGTAGGATTCTTGAGAAGTGCCTTACACATTTATAAGCCAGCATATGTGGTTACAGTTTTATTTTCAATATACGTGGTTATAGTTTTATTTTCAAAGTTATTTGTGGTTTTGTGACTGTTGAAATAGAAGTTATATAGATGTGAGGCAATACAGAAGAGTATAAAGCAAAGGGTAGCCTGTCACCCAGAGATAACACCTGTTCTTTGATAAATGTTCTTCCAGTCCTTGTTATGTTTTCATATAGTTAAAATCATATAGAAAACATAACTATCAGAATCGTAGCTGTCATTTTGTGAGCGCTGAACTAGATGCTGTACACATGGCGTGTTATGAGCCTTTACAATCCTATTCAGGAGGCATTATTATCCCCACTGTGGAGATTCTCCTGTTGAGGAGCGGGGTGCTTAGCCTGGCTCCCTAGTGTGGAACTGAAAAACTTCCCTGCATTAAGTCAACGTTTTACTCAACAACAGCCAAACGAAATACATGTTATCACTTGCGCTTGGCTTTTCCCTCCCAGGAGCCTCGAGCTGAAGTTCTGCTCTGAGCCTGATTACGCAGATCACTTGTCGGAATGTGTGGGTGATGATATGACTGCCCCTCAGCCTGATACTCTTAACTATCTCACAACATTTTCCATCACCAGAATCAGTGATTCGGTGTATAAATGTGTTCTAACCTTCAGAATGAGCTTTTGGAGGGGGGGGGGGGAGATAAAGAAAGAAAAAGGTGGAGAGCGGCCAAGGGATGTTCTTTAAAAAAAAAAAAATATATATATATATATATATATATATATATATAGATAGATAGATAGATATAGATATATATATATATAGATATATATAGATAGATAGATATATTATTGATTTTTTACAGAGAGAAAGAGAGAGGGATAGAGAGCTAGAAATGTCGATGAGAAAGAAACATTGTCCAGCTGCCTCCTGCACACCCCCTACCGGGGATGTGCCCGCAACCAAGGTACATGCCCTTGACCGGAATCGAACCCGGACCCTTCAGTCCGCAGACCGACGCTCTACCACTGAGCCAAACCGGTTTTGGCGAGGGACGTTCCCGTAGATATGTGGTAGTTGTTTGGAATTTGGGGAGCCTTCAGGACCCCTTGGGACTTTCCACTAGAGATTTTCTGTTCTATTCATCTGCTTCTGGTTTTTCTGAGAACTTTGAGCTGGGTAGTGGGGTAAAGGTGGCCATGGGGTGGTATCATTATTAGGGTTGTGGGTTTAGGAACGCTGAAACGACCCAGGTGCCCCTCCTCGAGTGAGGTTGCCCAAGGGGATATAATGTACCCCAGGGTGAGAGCCAGCGGAAAATGGACATTCCACTTTACTGTTAGCCAGGAGCCCGTCCCCCTTCACTCCCTTCCCCCACGCGCCTCCCCTTGGTGCAGAGACTGTTACCTATTCCGGAGCACATGGCCTAGGCTAAACGCATGGGTGGGGCCTCTAGCTGATTCTAAACCATCAGCGGCTTTTGCTGTTCAAAGGGATGAATGTATTGCTGGTCTAAGGACCACAATGTGAGAATCCATGTGGAAAACAAATCTACCTTAGGGGGTTAGGGGGGTGGAGAGGGAAAGAGTGTAGCGGGGATAAATGGTTATAGAAAAAAATAAAATTAATTGAATTTTTCTAAAAAAAAAAAAAAAAAAAAAAAAAAAAAAAAAAAAAAAATCTACCTCTGTCTTCTATGCTTATTTTGGTCCAGGGAGTCATTTACTGCCAGCTCCTGCTCAGATACACATGATTTCTGTTTGTATCTGAATGTGTCCCTGCATCACCTTTTCTGCCCCCCACAAGTGGCCTGAAACCCCCCCCCTAATTGGGAAAATCGCCTGCTCTTCTCACGCAGCCCCAACCAGAAATTGCTCCCGGTAGCTAAACCCTTTAACAGCTGAACCTTAGGCTGCCTCCCAAGCTCGCCCTCTGCTGGTGGACAAGGGTCATTTTCTCCTAAACCTTCACCCAGCCTTTTTCACTGCTCAAATAACTCATTTTCATTTCCCAGGTAATACAGCAGAAAAGGTGAATCACATATTCCTGAGGTTTATTTCACTCTCCGAGATTTGGTGGAAACTTTCCACTCTGATCTTCAGAGTGAATCCCTCAGATGGGAGAGATAAATGTCTGACCAGCACTTAACTAGCAACTTACCATTCTGTGTGTTGCCTCAAAGTTCTCCCCACCCTGACTTTGTTACCATCCCTCCCAGGCACTTTCTACAGTGGGGTGGCAAAGCTTTGTGTATTCCTCGTAGCCTGATCGCGGTGAGATCAGGAGGGATTGGTAGATCGCGGTGAGATCAGGAGGGATTGATGCAGGGTTGGGGTTGGTAGTAGAGGCAATACAAACACAAAGCTGTCAGGAGCAAAAGAACACTCAAGAGAAGCATGGGGCGCTAGGGAGATTCCTGCTACTGATCATATCTGATAAGGTGACCAGATCGTCCCACTTTTGGCAGGACAGCCCTGATTTTCCACAATTTTTCCCACGTCCCGTGACATTTAAAAAAAAAAAAAAAAAAAAAGTCCTGATTTTTGGAAAGATTGGAAAGATTCTTTCCAAAAATCGGGACTTTTTTAAAACGCCGCTAGATGCGGGAAAATTGTTGAAAATCGGGAGTGTCCCACCAAAAGTGGGACCATCTGGTCACCTTATAATATCATCATTGTTCATTCATTAAGACATTTTTTAAATATATTTTATTGATTTTTTATAGAGAGGAGAGAGGGATAGAGAGCTAGAAATGTCGATGAGAGAGAAAAATCGACCAGCTGCCTCTTGCACACCCCCTACCGGGGATGTGCCCGCAACTAATGTACATGCCCTTGACCGGAATCGAAACCGGGACCTTTCAGTCCGCAGACCGACGCTCTACCACTGAGCCAAACCGGTTTCAGCTCATTAAGACATTTTTCAATCACCTGCCCAGTGAGTGTGACTTGGGACCAGGAGCTGAGCACTCCTACCCCTGCACACAGAGACGGTAGCCTCGTAGGGGAAATAAGCATAATAGCTCCTACGTACAGGGTGCTGTGTGCCAAGCAACTTACTTACATCGCCTTACTTAATTCCATGTAATCCACACAGCAATCCTGAGATCTTCCTCATGGTACACAAGAGGAAATTTGGGGCGCAGAGAAGTTGAATGACACTCTCAGTTGGTGGTGAAGTCAGGCAGCTTAAAATAATTCGTTCCTTTCTCCAATAGGCCCTGGGGTTTGTTTTGTTGTTGTTGTTGTTGTTGTTGTTTTGGGCTTTGGTTTTTTTTTTTTTAATATCTTATAGGGCTGTAGGGTTTGATGGGCTTGGCTGGCTGGTTGCCACTTGGGTTCCTTTATTCAGCCGAATGTGTACAGTCAGCGGCTAAGGCTGAGTGTCGCCTCCAGAGACAGGGCCAGAGTGTCTAAAACAGCAAGGGCTTGAGGGCCGCTGTCTGCATGCCTGGCTTGGGCTGCCTCACAGCGTAGCAGGCAGAATGGTCCTCTTGAAGGGTAGGTGGCCAGGCAGAAACTGAAACATTTCTTACGACTTTGCTTCGAAAGAAGCACACGCATCGTTTCCACTACGTGCTGCTGGTCAGACAGTCACAGGTCGGCCAAGGCTCTAGCAGGTGCGGGCTCCATGTCTCTGTGGGGAACGAGCTTACAGTACACGGGGGCAAGGAATGATGAAGACCATCTCGGAGACAAGTCACCCAGCAGGATGGGGCCTTCAGCAGCCTGACTCCAGCCCGGGTGTGCCCCACCATCACGCTGCACCAACTCCCACTGATACAGCACAGTCACATGACCACAGACATAGTCACATGACACCACAGACCCAGTCACATGACACCCATAGATACAGTCACGTGACACTAATAGATGCAGTCACATGACACTACAGATACAGTCACATAACTCTACTGGTAGAGGGTGACAGAGGTAGATCAGAGAAGGAAACACCACACACACACACACACACACACACACACACCTCCCTTCGGTGTGGAGAGCAGGTGGTGACCCCCCGGGTGCATTCTGTGTACCCCTGCACTATGGGAGGTGACAAAGGCTGAGGGCGACAGGCAGCTCCGAGGCATCCTGAAGAAAACACGGGCCCAGAATTGAGGAGCCGAGATGGCCACCATGTAGTTCTAGGCCCAAGAAAGGAACCCAGAGGCCAAGAGAGGGACGAACTAGGGGTCCCAGGCCTTTCAGAACATCTCAGAATGGAATTTCTGACTGTGCTGTGCCTCCCCCACCCCCCAGATTGGAGACCCGCACCTGGTGATCTGCATGGACTGCTCCGCGGACACCATGACCAGCCGCCTCCGCCAGAGGAGCCAGAGCAGCCCGGGCGGGAGCAGCACCGCCGCCGTGGCCAAGCGCCTGGAAGCCTACCACCGCGCGGCCATCCCCGTGATCGCCTACTACGAGGCGAAGGCACGGCTACAGAAGGTGAAGCGTGTCCCTTTCCCCCTCCAGATGAGCCAGTTGCCCCTCCCCTTTCCCCCCCCCCCCTTTTTTTTTAAGAGAACAGAGAACAAAAACCACACACAGGACATTTTTGAGTCAGGGATCTGGGAACTGGAGTTGCATACAGTTGCACAAGCTGGATCCAAATATGGGTCCCTTACTCTCTTCACCTTTGTGTCAATCAAAATTAAATACTTGTCATCACATGGACCATGAGATCTGGCCATGGAATTCTCATAGGTGCCCTTATAATTGCTGCAAACAGAGAGGGGAGGGGGTGAAGGGAGGCATGGATGAGGCATTATTGTGCCTTCTAGGCCTCAGCTGAATAGGAAAAAGGTCTCTTCAGATCCACGATCCAGCGACTCTGAATTTCTACGTGTTTACAGTTCATAATTGGCACTTGTCTCCTTTGCCTCCTTCTCCCCCCTCCCCACCCCCCAATAGCTGTTATTGAAGGAAGCAGTGTATGAGGCCAGAAGAGTAGGTAATTCGGTAAAACAGTGAAGACACTGTGGGGAAATGGTCATGTCCACTTCATGAACAATAACCCATGCTAAGTCACCATTAATTTCATGAATCTGGGGAAACTACACAACCCCCATCATTCACCCATTTCACAAATATAAGCAGGTGCCAGGCACCTCCTATGGCCCTAGTGGTTTGGATACAGGTAATAAGACGTGGTTCTTGCCTGCTAGAGCTGCGTTTTAGAAGGGGATGTAGACAAACCTGTGGTCACAGTATGGCGTAAAGGTAAAAACTGAGTGGTTTCCCAGGGCCCTTTAATCCAAAGGGGAAAGAAAAGGCATTGAGGAAAGTCAACTAAGTTGATCCTCGAGGTGGGGAAAGAGGTGAGGGGAACAGAGCACCCCACCGGGAGGGATCCCTGGTGAAAAGATCAGGAGGGACAGGACCTCGGCGTGGCTGTGCTGTAAAGTGCCAAGGAAAAGAGGAACAAGAGAGGCGCTGGGCAGGAAGCAGGCACATCAAGATGAACCTCGTGTAGGAGTGACCACCGCCCTGTGGATGATGGGAGTGCTGAAGGGAACGGGCATAACCAGGGTTTTCATTTAGAAAGCTCACTCCATCAGCCTGTAGAGAACAGATCCCAAGGAGGTAAGGCTAGGAGCCCACTGGGAGGCTGGGACAGTATTCCAGGAACAAAATCCTGCGAAGCACCCTCTCCTGCAGTGCCCAGATGTGGCCTCAGGATGTTTCTCGGCAAGCTTTCCAGGCAGCTCCCACCAATAGGGTCTGGTGTGCACATTGAAACCTCTGTGCTGCGCTTTGTGCAACCTCTGGCTGCCATTTAAAACAAAGATTTGGGTCTTTAAAAACAAACAAACTCGAAGTGCATTACAGAAGAGCAGGGGCTTAAGAATTCAGGGTTGCAAAGGCCTGTCCAAGATGAGTGATTTCCACACTTTGTGAGCCTGGCACACACAGAGAAATTATTCAGACACGGGGGAATTTCTCCCATTTTGAAGGTTTAGATAGATGAGAAAATCCCTAAAGAATACAGAGGTTAGCCCCTTCAATAGTGAGAATATCCGTGTGCTCTTTCTCTTGCATTATTCCAACCTAAATTCTACACACTCACAAACGACAGGCTCATGGGTGCACGGGTAACCGAGTTCTCCGATACATCCCAGCTCTGGGATCCTTGGAGATATCTGAGGTAGGGGAAAGGAAGTTTCCAGTGCCATTTGGTTCATCTCTACAGCTTTCCCTGCGTTTTGGAGATGCTTGCAGCTGGGCCTGTAATGAGGTAACATATGATCCACTTCGCAAACACTTAAAACCGCTCCAGCCCTGACTCCAGAGCAGTGGGCTCCAGCCCTCGGGACCCAGAGGCGCTCCGGAGGAGGCTGCTCTGTGGCCACGTCTGCCCGGGACTGTCCTCCACCGATGATGCTGCAGAGATTTTTTTTTTTAAAGCTTCCTCCCCCAGCTTGCTAAGAGACAGGGAGGGTGGGGTGTGGGCCCAGGGAGGTGAGAACTGTTTGCGGGTGGCTGAGGGGTTCGCCTCAGTGTCCCTGTTGGAACTCTCTCAGCACATCAGCAGGATAGTCACAGGCCATTCACTAGACTTCACCCATACAGGAAGCTTCCCTCCCCACTGCCAGAGTGAGCGGATTTGTTATTGAGAAATAACTGAGATGTCAGGGTGAAAAGCCCAACAACTGGCCAGAGGCTCCCTGGCAGAGCAAACGCATAAATCTCCCGTCTGCTCTGAGACTCAGGGAACTCCTTCTTTGTGATTCTGCTCGATGGGCTTCTCTCCACCCCTCCCCCCTTCCTTCCTGACTGTCAGGCTGTCATAGGTCCCCGCAAAGAGCTTCGGATTCGGCGCAGCAGTCTTTGCACCCCTGTGGTCCCGGGAAATGAGGTGTGCTCAAGGCTTGTCTGTCCCCTCCCAGAGCAGCAGGCGGAAGAGGACGCCAGGCCTTTGTGCTCTCCTCTGCACATTCCTGATTTTCTCCCTCTGCGGGGGCTTTCCTATCCAGTGGGTTGTGACATGTCAGGGCCAGAGCTTCTCCAGGAGCTGCTGCCAGGGATTCTGCCAGCAGATAATTGGTGCTGCTCCCCCACAAGGTCCCTGGCGTATTCAGACAGGTAAGGGACACCGCTAACATCTGAGGCCTGGTGCTTACGGTGGGAATTCAAAGAGGAAAGGGGCCCAGGACACAGCACTACAGGAAGGTGGTAAGCATGGTAGTTTGTTTATTTGAGCTGGATCCTAAAGGATGAGTGCGAGTTCATAGCAGATGCAGAGGGCACAAAGGCATAGATTGACATGGAAAAGAGCCCAATAATGTTAGCACGAGGTGGGGTGCCAGCAGATGAATTAAAGTGGAGACAGACTAGGCTAGACAGCATGGTTGAGGCAAGACCATGAAGGGCCTTGAATCCCATCCATCCATCCATCCATTCTTTCCTCTTCCAACCAGCATTATCCAATAGAAATGTAATGTGAGCCACATAGGTTTTTAAAACTTTTTAGTGGTCACATAAACAACAGAAAGAAAAAAAAAAAAAGGAAACAAATGAAATTAATTTCACAGTGCATTTTATTTAAGCAAATATATTCTAAGTATTATTTCTTTTTTAAAAACTATATGTATATATTTCTATTGATTTTTTACAGAGAGGGAGATAGAGGGATAGAGGGTTAGAAACATCGGTCAGCTGCCTCCTGCACACCTCCTACTGGGGATGTGCCCGAAACCAAGGTACATGTCCTTGACTGGAATCGAACCTGGGACCTTTCAGTCCACAGGCTCTGTCCACTGAGCCAAACTGGTTAGGGCCTAAGTATTATCATTTCAACATGTTATCAATATAAAAATCATTGAAATATTTTTACGTTCTTTTTTTAATATGTCCTCAAAATTTGGTACTTAAATAGATCTCAATTAAAATGCTAATTTTTCATCAAACATACTAGGGTTGTATTTGTATTTCATAAAATTTATGGTTGGAATGGTAAATTTCACATACTCAAGTTGAAGTTCCAACAATATATTTGAATTTCCTGAGCTACATACCAGCTTTAAGAGTTAGATCAAGCCGAAACCGGTTTGGCTCAGTGGATAGAGCGTCGGCCTGTGGACTAAAGGGTCCTGGGTTCAATTCCGGTCAAGGGCATGTGCCTTGATTGCGGGCACATCTCCAGCAGGAGGCAGCTGATCGATGTTTCTAACTCTCTATCCCTCCTCTTCCTCTCTATAAAAAAAAAAATCAATAAAATATATCTTAAAAGAGTTAGATCAAGTCTAATTTGCATAGCATTAAGAATCTGTTCTCAGCTGCACTAGTCACCTTCCAAGGATTCAGAACCCCTGTGGCTGCTGTAGTGGACGACAGGGTTCTAGACCATTTTAGGGAGTTCGCTCTAGATATGCAGTTAGTTGAGGGGACCACTTCCAACAGGAACATGACGGATCGGGTGTGTTTTAGGACAGTCACTGTGAGAACGGATAGACTTTTCATGTCTGTGTAAAGATCTGGTCACCAAATTTAAGCTCCAGACAGAATTGGAAAGAAGAAGAGAAAGGAGGAAAGAGTGCCATGCAACCTTTTCACGAGACATCCTGCGAGTACTTGGGGAATCCTCCATCCAGAGAAGCCGTAATGTGCAGATTAGAATCCATCCCCGTATTGTTGGGGAAGCTTGGCTCTGACTCTCTCAAGTAAAGCTACGTATGGTCCTCCTCCTTATGGTCTTGAGACTGACCAGATATGTGAAATGGTGAGGGAGCAGGCTTCACGTAACTCTAACTTTAAAAAAAAAAAAAAATGCCTATAAGGATTGTCCACGTTCATGCCTGGGTGCTGAACAGTGAGGGCCCCTGTCTGAGGCCCCACTTTAGCAGGGGGCACGATGAGGCGAGGAAGCGGAGGCACCCCGATCCTGTAAACCGCTCTGCAGCAGCTCAGCCCCGCGGCGCCAGCACGTGAAAAGCAAAACTAAAACGCAAGCAGCATTCTGAACAGTGGGAGGGGAAATTCAGGAAAAACACCAGGTCTGGGCAGTGTGTGAGCCAGCCACCTGTTCTTTGGTTTCAAATTCATAGAACTAACGAGGAAGAGAGACAGCGCATGCAACTCCAAAGCGATGTGACTGCTCTCTGACTCAGCCTGGGCTCCCCTGGCAGCGCCTCCTCCGAAACCGAGAGAAGCTCGGAAATTGAATCCTATTCCCTGCTCGTGTGCTTTTAGCTATTTTTTAAAAAAACCTTTTTGTAGACCGATCAGGACATCACTTACCGCAGGGTTTTATATCCACTCTCAGACAAAAGTCAGGAGCAAAGCCACTTCCCTAATGTTCAGTTCACTACCTGCAAACCTCAGACATTCTGCCCATTTAGAACGCGAGAGCTTTGGGGGCCAGGACATGGAGAGACTTGCTTTTCCTGCTCCTGGGGACAGACGGCTGCTGAATATAACACGTACTGTCTGTGGAAAAGCTCCTTGTTTTCAAGTTTTAAGCCCCCTTCACACAAAACTATCAATACGCCAATTCCACACATTCTTCTCTGTGCGCTGTGCTCAAGGATGTTCAGCAGCAGCACCCCGTCGTCGGCTGTTTTAAATGAGCTAACGTCGTCGGCAGTGAGAATAGTTCCTGGAGCTTAGAAAGCACTTAGGAAGTTGGTTTCTCCCATTTCCTTAGAGTTGCAGTTATATGAGAAAATAGAAAAGCCAGATGTTGTTCTGCAGTACTCTCCCTGTGGGGATTAGACGAGCAGGGAGAATCCACCCCAAGGTTCAGGGCCTGTCCAGGTAAGCTGTGGAGAACCGAGGGAGGGACCTGGAGTGGAGACAGAAGGCGTTGGTCCCACCCGGTCCAGCTGGGCTCTCCTTTGCCTCATAAAGATCCATTTCAGACCTTCCCCAACACACACACACACACACACACACACACACACACACACACACACCCTTTCTATAGTTTCATTGCCTCACAGCCTCTAGAATTGTAGCCTGGGCACTGTGCCTCCTGGGACTGAGGATAGCAGAGCCCAGTTATTTGATTTTGTCTTTCAAACCTCCTCTCGCGCTTGGGATCCACAGAGGCCCACACCACAGCGTGTGACTGGCTGAGTGGCCACGAGAAGCTTCCTTTTCTTTAAATAATAATTCCACAACGCAAAAGGCGTGCTGTGGTTTTGGATGGAAACAGGAGGACGTGGTCCCCTCTCAAAGCCTCCCAGCCCTCAGGTAATAGCAAGGTGCTTGTGTTCGAAGCCAGCTTGCTGGGTGTTTATGGGAGAGGATCCCAAATCCTTACATCAAGTCCAGATGGAGGGTCAGAAGAGGGGCTCCAGGAGGAAGGCAAACGAGGGCAGCAGTGAGGGGGGATGCGGTCAGCTGTGTAAGGTGCTTCTGTATCTGCAGCCACTGGCCTGCAGCCATCATACTGTCAGCCCCCGTGCCTGCTTTGTCTCTGCCTGTGAGCTGGGAGCTCCTGGAGAGCAGGACTGTGGGGTCTGCCGCAGCTCACTGATCTCCAGCACAGGACCCGCTGTTCGCACCCGGGAAAGGGTGTGGGTTGGAAGGAAAGGGGAAGCGAGGTCAAGCACCAGACAAGGGGCTGAGAGGCTAAACCCCTGCCCCCGATGCAGAGCCACTGGCCAGGGAGACAAGTTGCCGATGGGCCTTTGATTTTCCCATAAGGATGGAGAATGACATATTTATGGGGGGTAGGGAGACGCAAATATTTTTAAGCTTCAGTTTTAATTTTTTCCTTATTGTGAGGAATATCATAGCTGCAGGAATGCATACAAGTCACATGTACTGTCTGAGGAAGAATACATGGTAGTCACCACCGAGGTCATGAGAAAGAGTCCCAGAAGCTCCCCCACGTGCCCCCTGATCACATCTTCGTCCTCTTCCCCAAAAGCCATCACAATCCTGACTTTTCTGGGAACCATGTCCTTGTTCTGGATTATATTACCACTTACGTGTAGATCCCTCACCAATATAACTTAGCTTTGCTTGTTTTTAACGTAACGTAAATTGAATCATACCGTATGCATATGCTTTAGAGACTTGCTTTTTTCCCCCTCAACTTTTATTGTTGCATGTTTTTATTTTTAAATATATTTTATTGATTTTTTTACAGAAAGGGAGAGAGATAGTTAGAAATATCAATGAGAGAAACATTCATCAGCTGCCTCTGCACACACACACATACACACACACACACACACACACACACACACACACACACACACACACCCACGGGGGATGTACCCGCAACCAATGTACATGCCCTTAACCGGAAACCAACCCAGGACCCTTCAGTCCACAGGCCGACACTCTATCCACTGAGCCAAACCAGTTTCAGCTAATGCATGTTTTTAAATGTAGCTTCTAGTTTTGTTTTGGTTTTTTTGTGGTGGTTTGTTTTTTTGTTTTTTTTTCCATTTCTGTAGTATTGCATTATATGACCATGCCACACATTTTTTTTTTTTTTTAAGCTTTATAAACTTGGGTGTCCCTCTCGAGTCTTTCTCCTTCTGTCCACAAAGTATCCAGGCACAGGGTCTGACTGCCCTCTTTCCATTCCTGAGGCTGCCTTCTCTCCCTCCTGCTGCCTTCGTTAAGGCAGGAGATCATGCCGCAGTGCATGTATCCATCCACTGCCAATGGACTTTTGTAATTTTCCAGCCTGAGGCTATTACAAACAGTGATTCCATAAACATTTGTTGTATCTATTTTCAGGGGTATCCCAATGTTTTGTTTTGAGAATTCATGCTACCACTGGAATCAGTGAAGTCCCTAGTGCTATGAAATAGAAACTAGTTTGCCCAAACAAGGTAGACCAGAGTTGAAAAAGAATCATTGTTTCTCGAAGTGTGGCCCAACATGACCATCAGTATCATCCAGAGGATTTGTTATATGTGCCACTTAGAAGACCCAGCCCAAACCTACCAAGTGGGAACCTCTGGAAGTGAAGCCCAAAAAAGTTGCATTAAGCAAGCTTGCTACCCCCTCCTCCCTTCCCACGAGTCTTTTTTTTTTTTTTTAATATATTTTATTGATTTTTTTACAGAGGAAGAGTGAGGGAGGTTTTTGTGTGTTTCCAGCTCCTTTGGGTAAACGCCAAGGAGTGCACAATTCCTGGATCAGAATAAGAGCTTACCTGCCTACGGATGTTTGTAAGAGCTTTACTCATAATTGCCAAAGCTTGGATGCAACCAATATGTCCTGCATTAGTTGGACAAACATCCAGATGAGAATATTATTTAGTGCTCAAAAGAAATGGGATTATTAAGCCACAGAAAGATATGCAGGAAATTTAAATGCTGGCTGGAAGAAGCCAATCTGCGAAGGCTGCACATTAAATGACAATCTGGGAAAAGGAAAACGATGGGGACATAAGATCAGCTTGGGGGGAGCGGAAGGTAATTTTGTAAGAAATTGCCCAACTGCCTTCTTGAGTGGCTGGATATCATTTTGCATGCCCATCAGCACAGAATGAATGCTCCTGTGGCTCCACATCCTCACCAGCATTTGGTACCGTCAGTGCGTTTGGATTTGGCTATTTTAATAGGGGTGTAGGGGTGTCACATTAATGTTTTAACTTAGGCATCTAGTTTTTTAACTACTCGCTTTTGTTTTATTGACTTGAGACAGAGACATTGGTTTGTTGTTCCACTTGTCTACACATCCATTGGTTGGTTCTTATGTGCCCTGACCAGGAATCAAACACATAATCCTGATGTATGGGAAGGACACTCTAACCAATGGAGCTACCCAGCCAGGGCTGAAATGCTCACTTTCTTGTTTTTTGGTAACTTATGTTTTAAATCTTCACATAGCAAGTTATAAGCAGGCAAAGTTTTGTTTTTTTTTAAATAAAAAATGGTCCTACTTACAAATGTTCCGTAAGACGTTCTTTTTTCTCCTTTTAAATCTAGATAAATGCAGAGGGGACACCAGAGGAAGTTTTTCTTCAACTCTGCACAGCGATTGACTCTATTTTCTGAAGACAAAATGCATGTGTGTTAAGGGGAATGAAGACAGAGAAACATATGAAACACACCTCAATATGTTTCAGGTTAAACCTTTTGTGTCCCCTTCCAATCCTGACATTGCTGTTTGCGCCCCAGCTTGACCCATCCGAGGCGTCTGGAAAGCATGCATGGTGTATTTGGTATCACCAGCCTCTTCGTAATTCAGACAGCCGTCTGTCCTCACAGCACGCACACCTTCCTGTCATACAGGTAGCACCTCCGAGCAGAGTGAATGGACAGCGGTGCAGTGCCAGTCTGTCAGTTGTGCCCTCAGGACTTGCTAGAGTCTGATCATTTGGTTCTCATCAAATAGGGAATCAGCACCCCTAAATTCCCCATTGTATCTTCCTCCCCCCAAGTTGCCTGATGAAGACCCTTAACTGGGGGGGATGGGGGAGGGACGAGGAGTGGGGGGCTTGCAAGCTGGGGCAACTTCCTCTGGTAACTGTGGCTCAGAGCCAGAGAGGTTAAGTTGACATGCCAATTATTAGAAACCTGATTCAATTTGAAAAACATTTAAAAAAAATGTGAAACTGTACAATTTTCCAAGACAGCAAAACCCAGACTAGTCACCAATAACATGTCTCTACTCATTTTTATGAAACTGGCTACTTGGAATACTGTCATAATGGCTAAGATAACTGGGGAAACTGGCCTCTCCTATACCTGGTGGTGCATTTGGCAATTATACATCAATACCAATGACCAAATTTAAAAGCACGAGGTGGTTTATTATTGCCATCCACTGAACTAATGCCAACTTACAGTTTTGATTTTAAATGATCACCTGTTTACTTGATACTGTTGCCAAACAAGAATCACAGGGACAGGAATAAGACTGATATGGGCGGGGGGAACATGTCGGCACACGATGTCCAACAGATCTCGATGCTGTATGTTTCACACGGGCCTTTTCGAGGGGTTTGCAAACCTTATCACACCCAAATGTAAAGCTGTTTCCTCGCGTCAAACCAGTGAAGTGTGGGGTTCTCTGTTGTTGTCAGAATCAGAGCTTCTCATGCAGCCTGCCGGAATAAACGCACCTTCCTCTCGTCAGTCACGACCAAAAGACCCTGGTTTCAATTTGCATGATTCCCCCCCCCCCCCTTTGATGGCTGTGCCGATAAGAATCCATTTCTAGTGCAAAGTTGTATTTTTAAAGTCGTCTTTTTTTTTTTTTAATGGAAATGTACAAATAAAATAAATGGAACACAGGATAACACTTTTTTCTATTTATTTGCAACTCACGTCATATTGGAAAGCATTTGAAGCCTTATTCAACAGAATTAGCAGCAAACACAGTAAGAGCTGAGATGTATGATAGGCTCCTATGATTTTAATTTTGGCCATAGATCAGTTTTGAGCAATTACAGAAAGAACTCTCAGTATATTCATGATACATGGTAATTTTCGTTAGTTCCTTTTGCTCCAGCAGTCCTTCTTCAACAGAAATGTCAGTGTTTGCTAACGAAGAAACCCAATTTCTTTGGTTACAATTATGCCTCTATTAACACAAAGAGGGGCCTGTTCCTTCCATTCACACAGTTATCAAATACTTTATTACTGCCCCAAGTTGTCACACACTTGAGAGGGGAGCACACGGAATATTTGAGCAAATTAGAAAAAGACAGTCGCAGGGTGAAAATGATCAGTTGTGCCAGAACACACAAAATGACTCTTTGTAGGAACATTCTTTAAACACATACCACGGGTTGGCAAACTCAGTCCACGCCCACCACAGCTCTGGCAGCCTGTGGAGGGGAGAGGGAGGGAGGCAGCAGGGCGGGGGACTGCACGCCAGTGGGATACATGTACTGTTTTCTCTATTTCTTTCTCTTTTTTTGCCCCTGAAGCGTACGTAGAGGTGCAAATCGAGTCCTCTGCGGAGCTACAAAACACACCACTGACCTGAACAAACCCTAAGTCACAGGCTTTGAAAGCAGGAAAGGGCGGTGGAGACCTCTGCGTAGTAGGAGAGCCTGTGTGTACGCAGAAAACATGGCCCGACTCCTGTACAATGGCTGCGTGCCAGGCCTCACCTGCTCTGGCTCTGGGCCTCACACCCCGCCCATCACCACGCTCCTCTCGCTCGCTCACTGGGCCAGAGCTGCACAGCCCACTCGATATTGCCAAGCTCCCACTTAGACAGGCCAAGCTCTACGGGCAGGGCCCTTATTGCCACCCTCCTGCCTGTTCCTCCACATTCTCTGCAGGGCCAACTCCCTCGCCCGCCGGGTCTCTGCTCCAGCCTTCCCTTGTCATTGAGGTGCTTTTTCACCAGTCCATCGAAAATGTCAGAAAGGTCCCCATTCTTCCACAGTTTTTCTTCAAGCATTATTTTTCTTCACGGTGTTTATATCTGCCTGGAACCATATTTTTTATTGCTGGTCTTTCTGCATTAGACCAATAAGCTCTGTGACAGCAAGCTTTGTATCCTCGGTCCCGTACAAAGCAGTGATCATTTGAAGGCTGGCATTTAATCCTTTGAACCTTCCTTTTTTCAACAGCAGAGATCATAATAGTAAGCAACCTCACAGAGGTGTTAAGAGGATTAAACAACTTAAAAATACAAGTAAATTACTCACTAGTTCCAAGTGCTCGATACAAGGTGGTTCTCTGGCAACAGTTGTCAAGTGCCTCACTCCCACAATTGGGACTAGTTCCCGGAATTCCACGCTAGTGCCCCTCCCATTACATCGGTCTAACACCATGGCTGAGAATGAAGACACATACCTAACTGACCCCTGAGAGGACCCAAGTCTTCTCAGCCACCAAGGTGACATCCTTCATGTAAAACAGGACACAATTCTTCAGTCCCCTCGGAGCCCAGTAACCATCTCCCCAGGCCAGCCCTCTCCGGTGCCACACTGCTCAGGCATAGGAGGCGCCTCTTAGAGAAAAAAATGTAGCTCACTAAAACATTGGTCACATTATCAAAAACATTTATTGAGAATCTAAGAACCAGATCAGGGAATAGCCAGGCATGGATGGTCTCTGCCCTCCCAGAGCTAAATGTAAAACTACTCTAAAAAAAACCCACTGAATGAGCTGCAAACAAAAAAAATGTAATATTTTATCTGGGATCATTAAACAGAAGCGTATTTTTCACCCAGTAAGAAATAAAAACGGCCCGGGCCAGTGTGGCTCAGATGGTTGCGCATTGTCCCGAACACTGAAAGGTTGTGTTCAATTCCCAGTGAGGGCACATGCACGGGTTTCGAGCTGGATCCCTGGTAGGGGGCGGGCAGGAGGCAGTCGATGGATGTTCTGCTCTCACACTGATGTCTTCTCCCCCCCCTTCCCTCTTTCTAAAAATCAATAAAAATATTTTTAAAAGAAATAAAAACAAGTACTTTATAACCTAAAACACAGTTTATGGAGGACAATGCCTCCATAAACTGTGTGCACCTAGAACACTGGTCTTCCAACTTTGCTATCCACACTAAAAAAAAATACTTACGTAGCATGCTATGTTATAACTAAAAATGACATTTCACAAAATGCTTATCTACTACACATAATGTACTGTTTTCTCTATTTCTTTCTCTTTTTTTGTTCCTCAAACTTCAGTAAATTGTTATGTTCAGAAATGGACAAGACATACTCTTAGGTTAATAAGCAAGAGGTACCAAACATGCATGGAAATAAATGCTGCCTGAGGCAGGAAATGCCAAATCTTAATCCCAACTTTGCTGAAACCCTATGGCCATGTTTACTGCCAAACGGGAATATGTAAATTATGTACATTATGTTAATATGTACGTTACTATATGTATGTGTGTCTTTCTAATTCAACTTGGCAGACCATCTCATCTCAGTGCTTCTGCCTCATCCACAGATAATGCTTCTCTAATCTGTGCTATAAACCTGGATATACTATACTGTACATCCAGGTTTGTAGCACAGATTGCACTGTACTCTAAGGTCAGTGGTCAGCAAACTGTGAGGTTTGCTGCTCTGTTGACTAATGAGTTTGCTGACCACTGGGATAGGGGCTTAATCACAAGGAACAACAACAGCCTGTAATTATTGGAATCGAGAGTCTAGGTCAGTGGTCGGCAAATTCATTAGTCAACAGAGCCCCAGTTTGCTGACCACTGCTCTAGGAACCATGCACACCAGGAAAAAAGATTGAAAACCAACCCCTGCACACCTCCATCTCCACCACCTTCGTGGCAAACAAGGCAATAAGGCAGACGCTGACTCCGGAGCAATCTGTTTATGTTAAAATCCAAGCACTGCCATTTTACTAACTGTATGATCTTGGGCAAGTTACATAAGCTCTCTGGCTAGATTTCTTCAGATGAAAACAGAACAAATGAACCTGCTTCATAAGGTTGTGAAAATTAAATCTGTTACTATATGCTTGCTTGGCACATAGTAAACACTGTTATCAGTGTTTGCTATTATTATTATTAGTGCATAACACACCAACCAAAACCTCTTCTGCCTAAACCATAATGCACTGGTTTTAGGTGTCATTAAAAGTTCCTTCTGTTCTTATCAAATAACTGAGCACATTATTTCAGGAAACACTACATCTGACCTACTGATTGCTTAACAAGCAACGCTTTAACTAGTAGGACTCTGTTGCCTCTTCTAGCCAACTCTTCTTTGTAAGAGACAGAAGGCCTATTTCAAACATGACAGCTCTGCCCATTCTTGTAGTCCTCAAATTAAAGCAGTAAAAGAACATTACCACTCCTACTACCGTTTAGGGCCTTCTAAAGCTAAAAGGACTATTTGCTTGGAGCTGGGAAAAAAAAAAAAAAAGCAAAACTAATACATCTTTGCTCAAGCAGAAAATAATCTTCTTTGCACTCAAAATTCTCAAAAATATTTGCCCTTGAAAAGTACATTTAAGTACCGGTAGCTTTTATTTGTCTACCAGAGGCCTGGTGCACAGGATTTGTGCACTGGTGGAGGCGTGGCCTGCAGGGATCAGCCCACTGTGGGGCGCCACTGATCCCGGATCAGCTGAGCGGCTGTAGACCCGCCCTCTGAGTGGCAGCTCCTGCTGTGGTATCAGCTGCTCATCCCAGTCGGCCGAGCAACACTCCCACTGCGAGTGCACTGACCATCAGGGCACAGCTCCTGCGTTGGACATCTGCCCCCTGGCGGTCAGTGCATGTCATAGCGACTGGCTGACCAGTCATTCTGCCATTCAGTCACTGGGCTTTTATTATATAGGATATATTTTCTATTCTGTGTACATAACAACTGTACCATTCATAGCCCTCTTCCAAAGCATACTTCATGCTTTACGGAATTTTTGAATGGGTCTGAATGATCCTCCAGAACTAATTGGTATTATTTCTATACAAATACAGAATTTACAGAGGTCACCACGCAGTGGTACTATCTTGCTACAGGCTGAAGATAGGTCTTCTGGCATATTCACTTAACGTCTAGTATCAAAATGCCCGGGATTCTAATGATCCCCCTCTTCTTCTCCCAACTAGTAATTCCAAGGTGAGAAGTTAAGCTTAACTCCATTTCCTTTCCTTTCTGATACAACATATTTTACCAACATCATCAGTAATCTTTAATTAATATATTATGTTAAAATTCTCATATTTCTATATTTAAAATTATATTACTTTTCTGAATTAAAAACATCCAGGGTATGGTTTTAGTACCCTACAATGTGTTAAAAGAGGCCTAGTAAATAATGTCCCCTTGATTTAAAATTAAAAAAAGCAGGAAACTCTCACAATTGGATCAGTATAACTTTTAATCTTAGAATATATATATATATATACTGTCTTTTCTAATAATGAATAATAATTTCCAGGGAATACAGGTTTTTTCAAAAGCCACCTCTTTAAATTAAATACATGGGGGCTTATTTTATCAAAAAGAATGAGTAAAATTTTCCACTGTTTAAGTTTTCTTATCTGAATAAAACTGCCTTTTTCTTTAGCTATAGTATGTGTTCTTTTGTACCTAGTTTATAATTTAGTGCTTCAGTACCATCTTTTACAGAGCTTTTCAAGTTCATTCTCGTTTCCATAATAAAGTCTTTACCCGTTTTTGAAGGGACAGGTAAAGCAAAACTCTTGAGAGGAAAAAAAAAAAAAAAATCCAAAATCTAACCAAAGGAAGTCACAACAAGCATTCTATAATATAAACAGACAGTATCCACATAGTTTATTTCTCACAGTCTCCTGACAAATGAACATTATTCAAGAACATACTGTATACACAGATAAGAAGAAACATACAAAATGTCGTAAATGATGCACAAAACCCAGCAGTATAAAAGAATGCATGTGAGCCCTCGCTCACTGCGCAGACGAATTTAATCACTTGTTTAAATAGTAATAAAAATACAATCTTTTATGGATCTTGTGCAGACTACAAAAGGGGGAGTTATTACCATATATATGATCTTTATATTAGGCAGTTTTCTTTGATGAGTTGTACTGACAACTCCAAATACAGAGGCAGAAGGCTGTGTACTTTAAAGGAATTAATGTTGTGAATTAAAGACTTTACACAGTTACTACCACTGGCACTTTTCACCATAGTTTGTACACATCACATGATCATCTTATATAACATTACATTTAAAAAATATATCTGAGTGACCATTTTATAACATTCACACACCATGAGCTGGTTAAGGAAGCGATGTGGCCGCTGCCTCCTGTAGTGCTTCGTGTTGGTAAGGACAGTTCATTGTGGTTAAAAGAAATTAGATATCAATATGGTTAAGCAGCTCCAATTTACTAACAGCCGTCAGGGACCACCTCTGGGGGGTGGGGGAATGGAGTTCTTTTAAAGTGTATATTCTAGAAGCAAACACCTTCATTGGTTAAAATTTTGTCTAAAGAAGTCAGTTTCTGTGCTGAAGACTATTTTCACAAAACTGAAAGCTACTAAACTGTTTTAATATAAATACTTCGTCTTCTCATTGTCGTATTTATGACCAAGTTCTTGAAACCTTTGGAACTGACTCACGTTTTAAATGTGTGCTCTCATTTCCATCTCACCTATTTAAGCGCCACCTCAGAGACTGGAAGGTGGGGGTGAGAGACTCACCAAGGAAACCCTTTGCTCACCAGGAATGTTCAGCTGCTGAGCAGCCATCTGGAGCCACACGGTGCAGAGCTGGACTGGACGAGAACACTCAGGAAGCTGTCATGCTGTGAGTGTCATTCAGGGAAAGCAGAGAACCTTTCCAAACTGTGCACATAACTCACAATGAGACCATTGCTATGTGTTGAAGAGGACTAGCATACGGTGTTCTCTCCCATGTCATCTGTTGGCTGGAAAGTAGTTTGGGTCAAGGTAATTATAACTGGTGCCCTGGGACACACAGTAGTCTCTGTCTAAAAATGTCTCTGACCTATACACAGGTTCTAACTGGTGATCTTCTTTGTGAATATCTGTTTCATGTAGGCTGTAAAGAAAAACACACATGCACACACATTATTACATGGCAGTGGATGCATTTTAATCTAGATATTCCAGAACTTCCTCACAGCTCAACTGTGTTAAACCCATTAATCTTTCCAAATCTCTAATGGAAAGTTATACTTAAGAAATATTATAATTAAGGAAAACTTCTTCATCGCCTTAGAACAATAAAATTTAATCCAGCAGATGTGATTTCCTAAGTAGTCTGGAAAGCAAATTCACTAGTTACTGAAAGCTCTAGTCAAAATTTAAGATGTACAATGTAGAAAACACTTACCAGTCTGAACAAGAATCACAGAAATCCAAAGACATTCCTGGAGGACAATCCTGACAATGCCACCGAATACCCTGGATAGGCTCTATGCCACAGTTATCACACTGTCAGAGATTCAGAGAGAAAGGGCATCAAGCTACATTATTCCAAAACCTTTTCTCTGCTGGAAAACTCGTGGTATGCACACCGACATCCTCTCCCCCTCCCCACGCACTGGACAGCGGTACAATTTCTAGCATGGACTGAAATTCCACCCACTTAAGACCAAGTGCAGGTGGACAAGAGGGACATTATAAGAAACTAACTTTAATATGGTGTGTTTTAATTTATTCTTTAAAATTTTAAATAAACTACCTACAAACTTGGCTGTGTGGTTGATTAGCAATTATTCATCACCAGGGTACAATGACTGTGATCACAAACCACTCCCTTTACACTGCGGTTCAACTTTACAAATATGTCACAGAACTATTTAACACACTATCGTACCTAAATTACCAGGCAAACTCAAAAATCCTCTCCAAACTCTTATTTTACTGAATTCCTCTCCAAGCCGGAAGGCTCCTATGACCAATGACCACCTGAAGGGAAGGAAGACCAGGCTCCTTCCTCATGTGGTGCATGTGGAAGACCTCAGTGTGTTCTGTGCTATTTGAGAAATCAAAGTAAATGTCATTTCTAGTTTCTTTGATCATCAGGCCACCCAGAATGGCCGACAGACTAGCCAACAAGTCACAACTGGGTCTTGCAGCAAAATTATGAGAAGTGAAGTTTCCTCTGAAAGGTCAGAGCTGCCAATTTGGAAAATCCCTAGAAGAAAGGCAGGGTCACTGAAGGATCAAGAGGGAAAATGCTTTTATACAGCCTGGCTAATGGCTAGGCCAGAAAACCAGAGGTATAAAAATCTCGCTTTAAATTTCAGTGTGTCAGTCACAGCATACATCAGTATTTTCATGTATACCACTACAGCAAGTTGATAGCTCATGGTCTCATCATCACCTCCTCCAATCCCATCCAGTAGTCAATTCTAATGCCTAAAGTGTTCTCAAATCTGTCAATCTTTATTCCACAGCCACCAGGCAAATTCAAGAAATTCTCATCTCATATAAATTACTGAAAGAAAAATCCCCAACCAAGGATAGAATTATCTTTTTCTCCTTCACTTCATTTCTCCAAATTACATAAATAATATACATGAATACATTATTGTTAAAAATAAAATTTAACAACACAATATTCAGAAATTAAGAGTTATCCACTCTAAACCCACTGCCTTTGTAAAGATGATCAATACTAATGGTTTAAGAATGACCTTTCTGAAATGCAAATTTCATATTACCAACAGTTCCACAATCCTTTAGAACAATTTAAATTCCTTACCAAGATTTCCCAGGCACCTCAATAGCCTCTCACTATTCTCCAATATGCAATCTAGTCGTACTCAACCATTTCACTTTTTCTAAATTCCCCGAGATGATGACAAATATGTGATACCTTAATCAAGAAAGTAATTTTTAAGAAGAAGAAGAAGAGGAAGAAGAGGAAGAAGAGGAAGAAGAGGAAGAAGAGGAAGAAGGAAGGAAGGAAGGAAGGAAGGAAGGAAGGAAGGAAGGAAGGAAGGAAGGAAGGAAGGAAGGAAGGAAAAAGGATAGAAAGAAAAAAACAGGGTAAGGGCAAAAACTGAATCTGTCTTATTTACTGTTGAATCTCTAGCACTTACTATTAATAGTATCTGAAGTATAATTGGGTATTTCAAAATTTTGTGGAATGCTAAATGTATTTCTACTAGTGTCTGAAAAAGTAACAAAAATAATTGGATGTGAAAGAAAACAAATTTCTGATTCATGAACAACAGCAAATAGGGAAACAGTTCCATGGGTGCATGGATAAAAAAAATATCACACACACACACACACACACACACACACACACACACACACACACACACACTGTAGTATTGTACCGTCATAATGCAGAAGAAAATTCTGTCATTTGTGACAACATGGATGAAACTAGAAGACATTAGGCAAACTGAAATAAGCCAGACAGTGAAAGGCAAATGCTGTATAATTTCACTGAAACTCAAACAGTCAAACTCAGAGGAGAGAACAGGGATGGGGGATGGGAACAGGAAAAGTGATACAATGTTGGTCAAAGGACACAAACTTTCAATTATAAGACAAATAAGTTCTGAAAAACTAATGTACAGCATAGTTAATAATTTTAAAGTATGCAGTACTCAAAATTTGCTAAAAGAGTATATCTTGTGTGTCCTCACCACACACAAAAAAATGGTTAACTATTTGAGACGATACAACTTTTACTTATCAATTACATCTCAGTAAAACTGGAAGGTAAAAAAGAGAAATAGGTAGACAAAAACTTATTTCACATTTTACCTCAAAGTACAGAAACCTGTATGTTTGCCATTGGCACACTATTATACTTTGTGTAAATAATAGGTTGAGAACTAAACTTACTTTTACCTGTATGCTTGGAAGTTGTGGTGTTTAAAACTCCAAAGCCATCTTAAATATCTCTATCACCCTTTCAAAAATTAATTAAATAGTAAGAGTAAGTAGAATTTACCTTAAAGCCCAAATGTTGTACAAATCCACTTTCAGCTTGCATTTGCTGAAGTTTCTGCTTCTTTAACTTTTTAAACTGTAATAGTTCCTTATATTCAGGTAAATTCCTATACATAATAGGAATACTTTCTTCATCCTATTGAAATCACAAAACATAAAACAAAAAATGTTAGTCTGATAATTAAAATGATAATTGTAAGAAATAGTGACACAGAATATTTCTATCAACAAGATTTTTCACTTTTAGGGTACCTTTCCTTTTAGAAAACTAGTGTTTTCTATTAGCAATATTTCAGACTAAAACTTTCAGAGGGCTTCTTATTGCATCCTACTGAACTCTCATGTGCTGCCTCATAGGGAGGTAGCAGGAGAGCAGGGCATACTGCCACCTTGTCACACACTAATGCAGGCGCCACATCCCGACACATTGGTAGCTACCTGACAGCCCGGATAATCTACTTCTCCCTGATCAGCGAAAGCTCCTCTACTTCAATCTAACAGATTTTATGCTTCCTCAGGTAAATACGACATTTTCTTAACAGCAAGCAAACCAATCTCTGCTTTGCTTTCTGCTCTGTACTCCCAATGATCAAGGCAGTACATTCATCTTACTCAAGGGGATGAAATAAGGTACAAAGATGATTTAAAATAGAGTATAAAAGAAATGAATAATAAAAACTAAATAAAAATATGAAGTTGAAGTTAATAGGTGAGTCAGTGTTTCTTATCCTCCCAATTTATTTGTGCTCTGTCACCCAGAGCCCATTTCTTTCCTTTGCTACCTCATGACTGACCTATGGTCACCAATTTCCACATGTACCTAAAAGCATACCCAATTCACCAACACCCTCATGTTTCATCAATTACTGGTCCTGACCAGACAACCCGTGTCCCTTTCTTCCCTCCTTCTCTCATGTTAGGTATTATTAAACTACAATGTGTATTTTACATCAAGAAAACTGGCTTTTATAGAAGCTATAACAGTTGCCCAAGGTCAAGTAGCTTTGCAGAGTCTGATGAATTTGAACCTGATTTATCTGATTCTATAATTCCTCACACATTTAGCAGCTAAAGCCTACATAAAAGAGTTACCCTTAATTTTTCACTGTCTCATATCTAATGTAACAAATCTTGTCACTACTTAACACTCTCTAATCTCTCTCTCAAACTGGTTCTCTATAATACCTACTCCCCCCTCTACTCCCTCCATTACTTAACATCTCTGAAATGGCTTCCTGGCTGTCTACAGCAGTGGTTCTCAACCTTTGTAATACCACTATCCTTTAATACAGTTCCCATGTTGTGGTGACCCCCAAACATAAAATTATTTTTGTTGCTACTTCATAACTGTAATTTTGCTACTGTTAATAAATTATAATGTAAATATCTGTTTTCTGATGGTCTTAGGCTCTACGGCAGCGTTTCTCAACCTGGAAAACCGCTAGCTGGGTCGCCTAAGACCATCAGAAAACACAGTTATTAAAGGAACTGTATAAAAGGGTCATGGCATTAGAAAGGTTAGAACCACTGGACTACGCATCAGGTCCAAAGTATGTCGCTGGATCAAAGATTCTCTACAGTCTCACACTTCATCTACCTTATCTCCCACTCTCTCCCATCCATTTCAAATTCTTGTTAAAGATATTAAAATAGCTACTGCCTTCCTATGTCACCACTAAGACAATTTAAATAATCTAGTAAATAGGTAACACTAATAAATATGTGATTTAAATTATGTAGTAAAAAATCTTTTAACAAAATTTATTGAATGCAGATATTTTAAACAATTACAAAGAGTACAAACTCTGCTAAATATGTGTGAGGGTGTGTGCATGTGCATTATGGACTATTATTCAGCCCTAGAAAAGAAAATTACAAGATAAATAAAACTTCAAGACATTACATTAAGTGATATAAGATCTATAGTAAGAACAAATCTCCACCTGTGAAATTGTTCAATTTATGAATTTAATTTTAATCACAGGTATGTACATGTCTTTATAGGGTTTGGAGCTATCAATGGTTTCAGGCACCACTGCGGGAAGAAGGGATGTTTTAGAATATATCCTCTGAGGATAAGAGGGGACAAGGGATGACTATCTTAAAATAATCAACCAAACAAAAGTTAAGCCTACTATATTATATTTTGCCAATATTCTCAAAATGTAATTCTTTTGAATATCCTGCCACCTCTCCTGGCCTGACTAAATTTTATTCATCCTTCAACTGCCAGCTTGACTGTTACTTTCTCTGGTCTCCCACTTAAACTCCCAATCTAATTTAAGAACCTCTTAAATAATTATGCTAGCAGCTATTTTTGAAGCAATTTATAACTTTAAATTTATGGATTTAATAATACACTTATCTTCTCTCACGAGACTAAAGTCTATAAGAGCAAAGATCAAAGATATTTTGTTTATTTAACTGAACTTAGCAGAGCCTAACATATATTAAGTGTGAATAGATATTTCTCAAATAAATAATTTTAATGTCCACAAAGTATAAAATTAAATATACCTTCCTCAAGATCGGGAACTAATAGTACCAACCCCAACTGGCCCTGCCCAGGAGGGGCCATGCCACGCCCACACTATAGGCCAGGAGCTTTGGGGATGGGGCACCTAAGCCTACCTTCCCTGGCCATAGGGTCTTGGGTCCCTGCTCTCTTACCCAGGTTTGGTTCCTCCCAGAGCCCCCCACTTGGAAATAAAGATGGGAATAGAATGGGGGAGGAGGGGCAGAAAGCCCTTCTTTAGCTGCCCTGAGGTCAGGGCCTCATCCCCCTAGAGAGTCAGAGGTAGGAGGTCGAAACTCCAGGGGCTGGCTTTTGTAAAACTGATTTTACTTTAATTTTTATTATGGTTTCAGTTTTTCCATAAAGGAGCCAATTTCATTTTTAAAATTGCATACAAACGGCATATCTAAGATATGACCGATATAAGCTGTTTTCAAATGGTAAGTTTTAAAAAAATTTTGAAGAATAGGCATTTGCCTGGCCAGTGTTGCTTAGTGGTTAAGTGTAGACCCATGAACCAAGAGATCATTGGTTAAGATTCCTGGTCAGGGTACATGCCTGGGTTTTGGGCTCAATCCCCTGCAGAAGGCAGCCAATTGATGTTTCTCTAATCACTGTTTTTATCTCTCTATCTCTCTTCTTTACTCTCTCTAAAAAATAAATTAAAAGATTTTTTTTTTTTTTTAAAGAATAGGGCCCCACCCTAACCGGTTTGGCTCAGTGGACAGAGGGTCGGCCTACACATTGAAGGGTCCCGGGTTTGATTCCAGTCAAGGGCATATGCTTAGGTTGCAGGCTTGATCCCCAGTACGGGGCGTGCAGGAGGCAGTTGATCAATGATTCTCTCTTTATCATTGATGTTTCTATCTCTCCCTCTCCCTTTCTCTCTGAAATAAATAAATATATTTTTTTAAATAGGCATTTTATAATAGTTTGATACCAAAGTATACAATCTGTATTTAATCTAGAAACAGACAAAATAGAGACTTACTTTTATTTGCTGATTTTTCATAAAAATCTCCTTTTCCAATTATTACATACTAGAGGCCCGGTGCATGAAATTTGTGCACAGGAAGGGGGGGGGGGTCCTCTCAGCCCCGCCTGCACCCTCTCCAATCCAGGACCCCGTGGGAGGATGTCCAAATGCCTCTCAAAATTGGGATCGCTAGCTCCTAACTGCTCACCTGCCTGCCTGCCTGATTGCCCCTAACCACCTCTGCCTGCCTGCCTGATCGCCCCTAACTGCTCTCCTGCTAGCCTTTTCGCCCCTAACCACCTCTGGCTCGTTCTGAACCCAGGACCCAGGCCCAGGATTCCCTCCTCCAGCCAGTTGTAGGCACCAGGGACCCGGGCTTCCCTCCCTCTGGCCGGCCACAGGAACCCAGGACCTGGGCCAGCTTCGCCCAGCCCAACCGCAGCCACAGGGGACCCCGGGCGGGCGGCTTTGCCCAGGCCACAGCTGCAGGTGCTGGCACCCGGGACCGTGGGTTGGGCAGCTTCTCCCTCTCCTGGGCCCCAGCCCCAGCCCCAGCTGCTGGCATCTGGGACCATGGGGTGGGCGGCTTGTCTGTCTTCCAAGCAGCAGCCTGGCTGGTCCCCATTCCTCTCTCCCCAGTGTTGAGTGCCAGAGCCATTGTGGCATTACTGCGTGACTACCATTTGCATATTAGCTCTTTATTATATAGGATAGATGGTAGTGTTAGTAGTATATTCTGAGACTACTGTGAGCTGTGTAAGACAAAGAAAATGAGTATTATTATGTTGATGTTACTGATAAATGGGGTTTTCAAAATGGGAGAAAGAAGATAATATTTTAAGATTAATAAGGGAAAGTAAAATTCCCACAGTGAAGTTGTATTTGAAATAAAAATATAAACTTATGATGTGTTTTGCCCTTGAACAAAAATATAGTTCCTAGCTCTTGCCACTAAATTGGCCTAGAAAAAATGATCAACCAAGTAGCAAATAACATTTAGGAGTCAGATATAGTTTACTATTTCCCAATAAAAGAAAACAGTATATTTCCTACCCTAGGCCTGGGGTATGAAACATACAAAAAGAGCCCAGAACTTCCTTATCATACCAGACAATAAGGAAGTTATTAAAGACTACTAGAGTCTTGTCAAAAGAATTCAAAATCCAATTTGAATAAGTTACAACTATCAGTGGACTAAAACATATTAAATATATTTAAGTCCAACAATTTTTCAGAATATAAAATTTTAAAAACTCAGTCATTTTTGGAAGATATTAGAGAAAAAACTCAGTATTTTAAAAACAAAATAAAGGGAAGAACTAAGCAGTGGTCTGAGCTGTTCTAAAATTATCAAGTGTTCATGGTGGTGGCCAGGATTAGATTTATTTCAAAGTATCTTTTTTCAAATTACTAAAGTAATAAGTGCTTACTATAATAAGCAAAGAGTAAAGGTATCCATACATTTTTAAAAAATTAATAATGCTCCTTCTAACCTACTCCCCTGCCCTCAAATAACCAGTGTGATCAGTTTTTGTGTCTCCTTCTACTTCCCCTACTCTCCCTCAGCAGCTATACTGCCTTTTCCTGTATGTAGGATAATCAAATAAAGGAGAAAAGAAAGAATATCATTGTTTTGTAACATTTAATGAATTAATGAATCTAGGCAAAAAAGCAATGGCTGTGTCAAAAAGAAAAAAAAAAAAAAAGAGATGATCAAACGGATGAAGGTACAAATGAAATAGTCCTGCCCACCTTAATAAATCTGAGTCTGACCAACTAGCTAGACCTATAAATTTACTGGAAATTCAAGGAACAGAGAAAACAGGTTAAATGACACCAGGAAGATGTAAACAATAAAATCCACACAGGATTCTAAATTCTACAAGATAAATTACCCAGTTTTTCACCAAAAACAAGCAAGAAAATGTAAGAAAGAAAAAAGGAGGGGGAAGGGAGGACTTATTGCAATTTATGATTAGGAAAATATGAACTGAATGTATATTTGATCAGATAAAGAATTACCTCTACAAACATAATGAAACTGTATAAATGTCTAGAACTTTGTCTGAAATATTTGTGAAAAAGTTGGAATGGTAGGAAGTATAGATAAAAACAAGATTGTCATAAATTGAAATTATTTAAGTTAGATGATGCATGAATATGGATCTATTATCCTCTTCTATTTCATTTATTTTTAAAAATTAAACACATTGTAATAATAGACCCTTAAATTTGATTTGTTAATTTAAAAAAAAAAAGAAGAAGAAGAAGAAGAAGAAGAAGAAGAAGAAGAAGAAGAAGAAAGAAAGAAAGAAAGAAAGAAAGAAAGAAAGAAAGAAAGAAAGAAAGAAAGAAAGAAAGAAAGAAAGAAAGAAAGAAAGAAAGAAACCCTCATTCTCTAAGAAGTAGGAATAATGAGAAAATCCTGATGTGCTTATTTGGGCCCTAATCTGTACAGTGCATAGACAAATATACATCTGTAGTAAAAACAGATAACTTACTGATGCCTCCTCGATAGTGGTGCTCATGTGGCTATGAAAACAAGATCGGTCATCATCTTCATCCATATACACTGGTGGTTCATGGGAAGTCATAAAAGTGGAAGGTTTAAAGAGATGCTTATTAAGAGGGTGCTGTCGTCTGCTTGTTGAAGACTACATGAGAAAACAAATGTTTAATTGCAACAGTGGAAAATCATTAAAATAATCAAGACAAAAATATAAATGTTACTTCCTACAAGTCTATTAGAAGGGTTTTAATTCTATTTATTTGTTTGTTTGTTTGCTGTTGTTCTTAATCCTCACCCGAGATGTTTTTCCACTGATTTTAGAGAGAGTGGAAGGGAGAAGGAGGAACAGACAGAGAGACATATCAATTAGGTGCCTCCCCTTGTGCCTGGTCCAGGGCCAGGGATAGAGCCTGCAACCGAGGTACGTGCCCTTGACTAGAATCAAATCTGGGATCCAACAGTCTGAAGGCCAATGCTCTATCCACTGAGCCAAACCAGCTAGGGCTCACTTCTATCATTCATCACACTCCTATGCAGCTGCTTTTCCTACATTATCTGGATTTTTAAAGCACAATTAACCTTTAACACATTAAGCGCCCTGTCAGTCACTGGTGAGTGACACTATACTTTCCGTCCTGAAGACAAAACAAGCTGGGCACTTAACGTGTTAAAAAACAAAACAGAGACATAGAGGGGGAGTACCCAAACAATGGGACCACATGCTCATTATCTAGCTTTATATCTGTACCCCCAGTATTTATCACACTCCTGACACTCAAATGCTAAACTGAACTCCTTTTACACTCCTCATAGAAGATCAGGGAAGATGAAGTAGCCTTAGCCAGATATAAAACTATCAAGTAAAAGAAAAATTTCCACAACATGGTGAATGTCTGAAAATGGTACCTAACACTGACTGACTGCTTACTTTATGCCAAGCTCACTTAATCCTTACCCCAATCCTATAAAGCCGTTATTACCACCTCTAATTTAAGATCAAGAAATGGAGGCATGGAGAGGTTAAGCTGCTTGCAAAGGTGTTGAAGGAGATAATGGTAGAACCAGTATCACAACCCACATCTAAGACTAACTTAGAAACTAGCCATAAAAATTAGAGCAGTTAAGTTGAATGTTGGCTATCAAGGTTCCAACAATCCAAAGTTATAGGATGAATTCTATATATCTAATATAGGTAATGTTAATATTTAAGGGAAAAGAAAATCCAGAATATTTAAAACCATTGATATATTAAAAAAAAAAAAAAAAAAAAAAAAAAAAAAAAAAAAAAAAAAAAGCTTCCAAAGCTTGGTAACAAGAATAAAAACAAAACATATAGCTTCAATAAAAAAAAAGGGCAACAGCATTAATATGGTCTTAGCTTCCCTTTATATGAAGGATGGCAGTAGTGGAGGAGGGGAAGTACCAGGATGATTTACTAAGGGAATGAAATTAGGCCATTATGTGCTTTATTTTTTGTAATTAAAGCAAAACAACAACCACAACCCTGGATATAATTTGGTGCAATGTGCTATGTAGGAGAGGGACAGTAGTTTTTTTGATATGGAGACAACCAGAGAACAACTGTGGAACTGGCTTGAGATCAGAATCAGAGGATCAATGGTTCCTATATTTAACAGTAATGTGAATAGACAATCTACTCAACATATTGTAAGACCTAGTTGTCTCATCTATAAAAAGATTGTACAATAGTACCTGACCCAGAGCATTCAATCATGAGAATAACAGCTAGCTACTAACACCATTATCAGTAAAGTGAAGGTGATATTATCTACACTTCTAGAATAACAGTGAGGATCAAATAAAATATCTTAAACATTTCTATTCTAGGATTTAAATAGCATATCTAAAAACTGGAAACTGATTGTGTTTATTAAAGTGTCAAACATCCTAAAAACTTTAACATCACAAGGGCCTTTCCTACACATTCAATTTAAAATATTTCAAGCAGCACTCATTCACATAAGCTAAGCTACTCCAAAGAAAATAATGAACAAACATCATTAAAGCTCTCTCAATTAAACTGAGTAGCAATCATAAAATCCTGCCCTGTGTTTATGCTCAATATAACAAAATGCTTAGAATAAGTGAACTTTTAAAAATAAAATAACTCTATTCTAAAAAATGTATACATCTTTACAAAGCACTTCTGACTTTGATGAGTTTAATCTATGATCTAAGATTTATTTTCATCTATTTTCTTCTTACCTTTTTGGAGTATATATATAAGTTTGGTGTTCTGCCTGGGACTGGAATGCCAGCTTTAGTTAGTTTTATGAAATACTTCTGCACGCGGCTGGCAACCTAAGAAAACATGACAATCCATTGAACATAATGCCAATACATGCTATACCCGAATAGTTTTTGGTCCAATTTCAAATGTATTATTCATCTAAGTGTATATGCTTTTTATTAAAATTGAAGTCTCTCAAAAGCATATACAGGAGGTTCTGAAGGACTATCAAATTGGGATTCATTAACAAATGTTCAACAGTTATTCAGTCTATTACACACCATCACTTATTCCTTTTCTACTGGATCATTCCCATCAGCAGACAAGCATGTAATACATGAATAGCTTTTAAAAATTAAAATGTATATGTGTATCTTAATGAATGCTAATAATTTTAAATTTATCAAATGTTTGATTCCAAAGCTAAATACATACTTTCAACTTGTAAATACTTATGCTTATAATATAAAAAACATCTAATATTGATGAGAATGTAAAGGAGAAAACTGCTGGTTTTTTAGAGAAAAGCAGGTAATACTAACTAAGGCCATGTCACAAATCTATTACCACAGTCTAATCAAAAAGTATATAGTTGGGTTACCAAAGAGATCAAAGAAGAAATTAAAAACATCCTGGAAACAAATGACAATGAAAACACAACAATCCAAAATTTATAGGGCACAGAGAAAGCAATCCTGAGAGGGAAGTGCATAGCATTATGGGCCTAACTAAAAAAAAAAACAAGAAACACTGGTAATAAATTATCTAACTCTACAACCTAAAATTAGAAAGAAAGCAACAAGTAAAGCCCAGAGTGAGTAGAAGAAAGGATATAATAAGGGTCACAGCAGAAATAAATGACAGAGATCAAGAAAACAATACAAAAAGATTAATTAAACCAACAGCTGATTATTTGAAAGGATAATCAAGATTGATGAATCTCTAGCCAGGCTCACCAAGAAGCAAAGAGAGAGGACCCAAATAAACAAAATTAGAAATGAAAGAAGCAAAATAACAACAGACCCCACAGAAACACAAAGGATTGTTTAAAAAAAAATACTATGAACAACTCTATTCCAACAAACTGGACAACCTAGAAGAAATGGGCATAGTCCTAGAAAATATGATGTTCCAAAACTCAATCAGGAAGAATCAAAAAATCTGAATAGGCCAATAACTAAAACTTCCAGCAAACAAAAGCCCTGGGCAAGATGGCTTCACAGGATTGTTTTACCAAACATTCAAAGAACTAAAACCTATTCTACTCAGACTATTCCAAAAAATTCAAGAGGAAGGCACACTTCCAAGCTCTTTCTATGAAGTCAGCATTATCCTAATCCCAAAACCAGATAAAGACACTACAAAGAAAGAGAATTACAGGCTAAATTCCTAATGAACATAGATGCTAAAATCCTCAACAAAATTCTAGCAAATCAGATTCAGCATTACATTAGAAAGATCATATACCATGACTAAGTGGGATTTATTCCAGGGATGCAAGGATGGTACAATATCCACAAATCAATAAATGTGATACATCACATAAACAAATTGAGAAATAAAAATCACATAGTCCTATCAACTGATGCAGAAAAAGCATTTTACAATACCCAACACCCTTTCTTGATAAAATCCCTCAGCAAAATGGGAAAGAGGACATACAGAAGGCCAAGAGACATATGAAAACATGCTCTAAGTCACAGATCATCCAAGAGATGCAAATCAAAACAACGATGCAAATCACACCTGTCAGAATGGCTATCATCAACAAATCAACGAACAGTTAAGTGCTGGCGAGGATGGGGAGAAAAAGAAACCCTCGTGCACTGCTGGTGGGAATGCAGACTGGTACAGCCACTGTGAAAAACAATATGGAGTTTCCTCGAAAAATTAAAAATGCAACTCCCATTTGGCCCAGTAATCCCACTTCTAGGAATATATCCCAAGAAATCAGAAACACCAATCAAAAAAGATATATGCACCCCTATGTTCATAGCAGCACGATTTACCATAGCTAAGGTTTGGAAACAGCCTAAGTGCCCATCAGCAGATGAGTGGATTAGAAAATGGTGGTACACCTACACAATGGAATACTACCCTGCTGTAAAAAAGATGGAACTCTTATCATTTGCAACAGCATGGATGGACATGGAGAGCATTATGCTAAGTGAAATAAGCCAGTCAGAGAAAGATAAGTTTCATATAATCTCACTCATTTGTGGAATATAATGAACAACATAAACTGATGAACAAAAATAGATCCAGAGACAGATAAGCATCGAACAGACTGTCAAACCTCAGAAGGCAGACAGGGGAGGAGGGTAAGAGATTAACCAAAGGACTTGTATGCGTGCATAGAAACATAACCAACGAACACAGACACTAGCAGGGGTGAGGGCATGTGCTGGGGGGTGGGAGTGGTCGGGGAGAGGTCAATAAAGGGAAAAGGAGACATATGTAACATATGTAATACTTTATTCAATAAAGAATTTTTTCAAAAGTATATCACTGGTGCATCATCAAGCATTCAACAGACACTAAGTCCATTACATTTTTATTTTTTTAGTATTATCTCAAGTTTGTTCTGAAATCAACACAAAAATATACAGTGTTAATTTTAAAACCCTACATACCATTACACTCTATAGCTAAAATGATGCTGCAGTCTGCTGATGTCAGTCACACTATCCTTCATAAAATAAACTATCAAAAACATATCAACAATATGGGACTGTCCCCTCAATTACCTGCTTTGCTGTCCTATTGCCCAGCTCATCTGCTATCTTCTGCCAGCGTCGTGATTCCACTTCTTCAGGAGGGTATTTCAGGAGTAGCTGTTCAAGCTTTTTCTAAGCCAAATCCAAGATCACATTTAAGAAAGTTTAATACTGAATTTCTAAATAAATACATCCACATTTCATTTTAAATTATAATATTCCCTCCTCAAATTTGGGGGTTAGGCACTAGAAATCATCATGTAAGAAAAAGTTCCCATAAAGCAAATTAAAGGAATTCACAGAGAAAACGAAATTAGAGAATAAGTCTAGAGAAGCCCTTATAAAGATTTTCTATTCACTTCAATAAAAAGATAGCATGCAAAAATTAATATTTTACACATCTTGGTGATTTCCATTGACTATCTTTTCTTATAGACTACGTTGAGGTTCACCCTTATACATTTGACAAAAATGTGTAAATTAATTTGATTTGGACAGAAAAAGAGACTTTCCTTCCTTTGTGTGGTCCTCCATTCAAAGATTTGATTTTAATATTCTGACCTATTCCTCAGTTCTCCCATAGTAATAAATAATAAAGATGCAAAATAAGCTAGATACCTGAAGTCAAGATTCTTAAGCTTTTAATAAACTCAGTACAACTGAGAAGTTAAATCCTCCTATGAAACAGAAATATGTCTCCAACCTTACCCACAAACAGTCCTAGCTGCATGCCAAAACGAAACAGAACCCTCTGACTGGCTTCATCATCTCCCCTCACAACAAAACAAGAGCTCACTGAGGCACACTTGACTTGGCCCCAAGTTTTTTCTCTCCCAAAACTGCAATACAAAAGCTTTAGTCTATCCTTTTCACTACCTTTTTTTCTCTTCCTCCCAAAACCCAGGTACCTTCTTTAAAAATCAGCCCAAACAGGATTTCATATATGCTCAAAATCCAAAATTCTTAAAGATTACAAAAAAGTATACAGAAATAAGTTTAAATATTTTAAATTCATGGTGAAGAGAGATTATAAACAATAATATACACTTTATCCATATCTAATTTTAACTCTTTTTAATCTACACAATTTAGAAATATCTATTACCTGTTCTTCAACAGTCCACAACTGGTTAAAGGTTTCAGGTTTGGTGTCATCACACAGACGTCCTCTTATCATCTGCATATAAAACAAGGCCTTTGTCAAGCAGAAAGGAACAAAGACCACCCTCTGATATAGCCAAATAACAAATTATGGAACTTTTTTTATTAATTCCAAATGTTTTAGTAAATTTACTTTTTAAACATGTATATAATGTAATATTACACATATTACTCATTTAACCCTCACAACAACTCTACAACATAGGCAATATTAATTATGTTCTATATAAACAAAAACTACAGCTTGGAGACCTTAATAAATGACATCTGAAGTCCCACAGCTAGTAATTGTTAGAGTTGGGTATGCAATCCAGGTTTCTCTTAACTTCAAGGTCATGTCCCTGCTATCTTCAGTGAAAAGACTGCTTAAATTTTAAGAATACAAATCAGCAAAAAGTCAGAATATTTTGTCTACAATTCAAATTTCCCTACTCCAATACTGTGTACTGCTTACTTGAGGACGATTGCTTGAGCCTTCTGGACCATCACTCAAAGGCAGCACAGAGTAGGAAAGGGACTCTCCATCCTTCTTAGGATCTGAAGGACTTTTTGGTCTAGCAGGTAAACCTACTAAATAAAAGACCATTAATAGGATTATTAAAGCAGGACTTTGCCAGGTATTTCTCTACTAAATTCTTATCATGTCATTTCTTACCTTTATCAAAAACTAGCTTAACTCTCCTAGTATGTCTTTTACGATTTTTAAATTCTCTTTCAAAGTTCCCAAGACTATTGGTATATTGGTCCCATACAATCTCCGGCAATTGAACAACTCTTTGTGGGTACGGAAGCCCTATATCAGCCTGGAAAAAAATAAAACAGTCTAAATTTAATTCAAGAAATTATCAACTATAGCCAAACTACAGATGACATCAAATCCAAATAATCATCAACTGGGCATTTGTAGTCACATTAAAATCCAATAGCCAATGAAGTTAAGATAATGTAGTCTACACATTAAATGGTAAAGATGATAACAAGGAAAGGATGAATCGATTTAACAAAACATAGGCACTATTTTTAGAGCTCTGAAAGCTGAACTGTATAGACATATTATACATTATCACTAGCAAACTTTAAACATAAATAAACAGCAAAGCAAAAAAAGGTTGTTTATTTTAAATGTAGTCCATGTTCACCACTTATCCATAAAACAATGATTTTCACAATATATACTCTTACGACATGTAAAAAAAGTTATATCCTTTTAAAAATATATATTTTATTGACTTTTTATAGAAATGGAGAGGGATAGAGAGTTAGAAACATTGATGAGAGAGAAACATCAATCATCTGCCTCCTGCACACCTTCTACTGGGGATGTGCCCGCAACCAAGCACATGCCCTTGACCGGAATCGAACTGGGTCCTTTCAGTCCCCAGGCCAACACTCTATCCACTGAGCCAAATAGGTTAGGGTGAAAATTATGATATCTTGAGAATCAAAATTATACCTTTAATTTACTTTAAATTCAGTTACTTTCCCAAGCACCTTTAGAGAAGTCATTCGTTGTTATAATTACTATAATTAGGTGACTATGATCAATGTCTTTTAAAGGGTTTGGGTTAAACATAAGTGGATGCATTTGTTGAACTCATAGAGTACTACAATTAGGATATTTTAACTTTCATTGTATGAAAAATTCACCTTTAAAAAAGCCTAAGAATTTTACTTAATAATATGCATTTAAAGTGTTTTGGTAAATTAATATGTCTACAACTTTAAAATGCATGGAAAGCATTCTATCTTACAATAAGATGGAATTATGGATTGAAGACTGATAGATATGTGATAAAGCAAAAATAGTAAAATGATAATTGGAGACTCTAGGTGGTGGATATGTGTGTGTTATTTATACAATACCTTCTACATTTAAAACGATGAGGAAAACAATCATAAATTATAAAACTGGAAGGGCAAAATCCACTTTGTGACACAGAATTCTTAATTTTTATTTTGCTTATGACATATTACATTATCATATTAGTACCTATAAGTTTACGGTTCAACTTTAGCAAATGAAAGCATCTTTTAAAGTAATAATGGTAATATTAAAGAAAGCTAACAGCCACAAATGTTCGCTGCATTCTATATACTAATATATACCATAAATTTCCTAATTTCAATGAGGAGTTTCTAGATGTCCACTAAAACAAACAGATCACATGTCAACAGCTTAATGTGGTAAACCTGGAGAATAGGCAAATTAAGTATACATGAGTAAACACAGAAAAACAAGAGTCAAACACCTAAAGTAAATCCAGTATAAACATTTCTCTCTAGAAACACACATTTTTCATGATTATTATAGTATCTGGACTTACTGTACACCTGTACGTTAAAACTGGTCTATATCACACCTGTTTCTGATATAAAATGAAAAGAAATTCAGTTCTAAATTAAACCTGAAAATGGAGAACTAGCAAATACCCAGCTATATACAACTTTAATAAATATGCCTAACTCTATGTTCTGTCCACCTGAAAACTTGAACAAAACAAAATTAAGGTTAACAAATGTTTTATCAATATTTACAATACCACTAATTTTAGCTGGTTCCATTTTAAGTAATCATTGTAAGTACTATATCTTCTTGCAACAGCAAATCCTATATAATAAAAACCTAATAATTATGCCAAGTGTCCGACTGTTAATTGGCCCAGTTCCTATGATACACGGGAAACACTCCAACTGGTCGGTTAGCTTGCTGCTGGGATCTGGCTGACTGGGACTGAGCAAGATGGGCCTGATACACCCTGGAGCCGTCCCATGGTCCCTTCCCCTGGCACCAGTGGGAGCCCTCAGCCTGGCCTGCACTCCCTCGCAATCCAGGACCCGTTGGGGGATGTCAGAGAGCTTGTTTCGGCCCGATTCCCACAGGCCAGGCCGAGGGACCTACCGGTGCACAGATCTGTATACTGGGCCTCTAGCTGTTTAATAACAACAGTGCAGAATCAATAAACATCTAAGTGGACACTATAAAAGGGAGGATGCAATAGGGTTCTAGAAACTTTAAACGTTTTAACAAATGTTGAAACCGGTTTGGCTCAGTGGATAGAACATCAGCCTGCTGACTGAAGGGCCCCAGGTTCAATTCCGGTCAAGGGCATGTACCTTAGTTGCAGGCACATTCCCAGTGGGGAGTGTGCTGGAGGCAACTGGTCGATGTTTCTCTCTCATTAATGTTTCTAATTCTCTGTCCCTTTCCCTTCCTCTCTGTAAAAAATCAATAAAATATATTTTTTTTAAAGTTTTAACAAATCAATATATAGATTCCATATCCATTAAGATAGTCAATGTTCCTAAAGCACATAAAGAAATGTTTGTCATGTAAATATTATAGCTAGAAAAATTCAAATAATAAATTAATAAATCTAAATGAAACAAAGTCCTCAGGGCCATTCCCTTATTACTTGGTAGATCACTTTTGTGATTCATTAAAAATGGGGAACTAATAATTATACTAAAATTGTCAAACATAAAATTGTCAAACTAGCCCTTGCTTATTTGGCTCAGTGGATAGAGCATCAGCCTGTGGACTTAAGGGTCCCAGGTTTGATTCTTGCCAAGGGCACATGTCCAGGTTGCAGACTTGATCCCTAGTTGGGACGAGGCAAGAGGCAGCTGATCAATTATTCTCTTTCATCATTGATGTTTCTATCTTTCTCCTCCTCTCCCTTCCTCTCTGAAATCAATAAAGAAATATATTTAAACCAAGAGTAGTTCAAAACTTTGGAAAACATTTTAAAAAATTGTCATAGTATACCTATACAAGCCAGGTTTTTGTTTAAGGTGAAGAAGATGATTCTTTTTCATAGTTTTTCAATTTTAATCTTGTCACACAATGCTGATTAGTATTACTGAACAATTACTGGATCCCTAATTTAAGACACATACTGTCATAAACGCATATCTAGATTATCTCCACATTTTTATATTATAGCCCTTGCCAGTGTTGCTCATAGTTAGGAATGTTGATCCACACATTGAAGCATCATGGATTTGATTTCTGGTCAAAGGCAGTACCTGGGTTACAGGTTCAATCCCCAAGGCCTGATAGGGGGCAACCAATCAAAGTGTCTCTCTCACTTCAATGTTTCTCCCCACTCGCTTCCACTCTTTCTAAAATTCAACAGAAAAACTATCCTCAGATAAGGATTAAAATAATAATAAAATAAAAATTAAAAGGTTATTATAAAAACTTGAATCACTTTCATAGGTTAACTGTTAAATATGAAAGTTCTGTTTTAAGAAAAATAGAAAATTATAAAAAAAATTCTATACTAACATGCATATAAGTGCAACCAATGGACATAAAACTCTGGGGAGGGAGGGTATATATGGGAGGGAGTGGGGAAAAAATCAATAAAATATATATATTTTTTAAATTCTATACTAAAGTAACGGACACTTCAAAATTAAGTAAAGTTTATACCTCTACTTAAGAGAGTTTTTGTTTTTATCACTGTTTTCTATCTCACTATTTCGAGTTAGTTAGAAAAGTAAATTAAAGCTAAAGGTGTTAATAAATCCTGAAGTTTTTTTAGTGTTTTGGTTTTGTTGTTGTTTTTTGTTTGTTTGTTTGTTAGCTAATCCTGAAACCAGGAAAGCAGGAGAAGGAAAACACTCTAAAATGGGGAAAGTAACAGGAAAATATCATAACACTGACTAGGGAACAGGACATCAAGTTTCTATAAGAGCATCCAAATGAAGTATCTAGGTATTTTCAGGAAGGCAATGTCTTGCCTTCAGTAGTATGGTTAATTACAGAAAGGGAAATAATTAAACATTTTTAAAGTATATACTGTATAAAAAAAAACAAGCTTTTACCAAATAAATCTCAATAAATGTTAAAAAGTGCTCAATATATACCTTCTTCTGGAGTTTCTCCACAAATCCAATGGGATTTTTTAGTGCTTCTTTCTGATGTCTGCTTAAACTTTCAAGATCCTGGACTGCTTGAGAACGTTGAGCCTCGAGTACAGCAATCGTCTGCAATAGTCTCTGATAACTATAGAGACAAAGAAAAATACCTCACTAAAACTTTCTAGTAACAACAATAAACAAAAACTGAGTTCAAGCCATAATCTACTATTAAGTCACACAGTCTTTTTAAAGTTACCTGAAAGAGTTTAGTAAAACATATTACTGGGAATAAATGAGGTCTTCCTGAGTTACGAAGTACCTAGTCAGAAAATATCAGTTAGAGAAAGCAAAGCCTTATTTCTCCATTAAAAAATGTATTTGACTGATTTTGAAAGAGAGAGCAAGGGAGAAAGGAAAGGAGGAGAGAGAGACATCCATTTGTTGTTCCACATATCCATGCATTCACTGGTTAATTCTTTTATGTGCCCTGACCGGGGAGTGAACCTGTAACTTTGGCCTTTGGTGTATGGGAACAATGCTCTAACGGAGCTACCTGGCCAGGGCCTCCCCCATGTTTTATTTCTTGAAGCTGAACAAGTATAGAAAATAAGAAAGTATCTATCTTTGGTTTTTTACAGAGAGGAAGGGAGAAGGATAAAGAGTCAGAAACATCAATGAGAGAGAAACATCGATCAGCTGCCTCCTGCACGCCCCCCACTGGGAATGTGCATGCAACCAAGGCACATGCCCTTGACCGGAATCGAACCTGGGATCCTTCAGTCAGCAGGCTGATGCCCTATCCACTGAGCAAAACTGGTTTTGGTAATATGAAAGTATTTTGATTTCCCAACAATCAAAGTCATCAAGAAACTACTAAACTAAAAAAAATAAAACCGTAAGACTTCAGCACTAGGAGGGATCACCAAATTTAGCCCCTCTGTTGTACTCCATTGGAATGAGCAATCTGAGGCACATTTTCTTTTCCGGAATTACAAAATTCAACATGATCTTGTGTGTCATGCTTTTTATTTGCTCTACTATACTGTTCTACAGGATGTTTACTTTCATATCTATTTTTAAGTATTGGATATTTTAAAAGAAAGTAGGCCATTACAATATTTTTTTTTACTTCCCTGCCTACAAAAGTTCACTTAGCACAGCTAACAAATTTATCCATACAAATCTATTTACTACCTGTCATTATCCTGAAATCTCATGTATACTAATTAATTTCCTCCCTCCCCCTCTCTCTCCCTCTAGTTCAAATTGTCTTGCTTTTCAGATTAAGGTCTAATTTCACATATAGATTCACATATGTAAACATGTTGACCCAAAACCCTGAATACTCAAATACATTTTGCAAAAAGAATCAAGAACAAGTCACTCTAAGTTCACTTCAAAATAAGTGGCTAATCCCTAGATGGTTTGGCTCAGTGGACAGAGCATTGGCCTTCAGATTGAAGGTTTCAGGTTTAATTTGGGTCAAGGGCACATGTCCAAGTTGCAGGCTCAATCCCCAGTAGGGGGCATGCAGGGCGAAGCCTATTAATTATTCTCTCTCATCACTGATGTTTCTATCTCTTTCTCCTTCTCCCTTCCTCTCTGAAATCAATAAGAATATATTTTAAAAATATTAAGTGGTTAAGACCTTAAAGTATTAATGAGGCACAATTTTTTATGGTTTCAACATTTCATTTTGTTTCCCACTAGACTGTGAACTTCACAATGGCAAACACATTTTAAAAGTCCACTAATTATTAATCCAGTGTGCAGCATACTCCCCTGCATATAGATTTGCAATAAATACTTTTAAATATATTTATATACTAGAGGCCCAGTACACAAAAATCATGGGGGGCAATGGGTACCTTCAGCCAGGCCTGCACCCTCTCCAATTAGGTACCCCTGTGGGATCAGGTCTAATCCGGCAGACATCCCTCCCGCAAACTGGAACTGCTGGCTCTGAACCACTCACTTGCCTGGCGGCCTGACCGCCCCTAACCACCTCTGCCTGCCCAGCCTGATCGCCCCCTAACTGCTCCCCTGCAGTCCTGATCACCCCTAACTGCCCTCCCCTGCCAGCCTGATCACCCCTAACCGCTTCTGTCTTAGACCCCTGCCACTGTGGCTTTGTCCGGAATGATATCCAGTCTAATTAGCATATTACCCTTTTATCAGTATAGAAGATATACTAGAGGCCTGGTGCACAAAATTCGTGCACTGGGGGAGAGGGGGCCCCTCAGCCCGGAGTGCAGGCCAAGCTGAGGGACTCCACAGGTGCAGGATCAGGGCCAGGGAGAGACGCAGGAGGTTGGCCAGCCAGGGAGGGACCACAGGAGGGCTTCAGGGCATGTCTGGCCCATCTCGCTCAGTTCTGATTGGCCAGACCCCAACAGCAAGCTAATCCACCATCAGAGTGTCTGCCTCGTGATGGTCAGTGCTCATCACAGTAAGCGGATGAGCAGCTTTAGCATATCATTAACATATTACGTTGATTGGTTGAATGGCCAATTGGATACTTAGCATATTAGGCTTTTATTATATAGGCTTTTTTAATGGATTTCAGAGAGGAAAGGAGAGGGAGAAAGAGATAGAAATCTCAATAATGAGAGGGAATCATTGATCGGCTGCCTCCTGCATGATCCCTTCTGGGGATCAAACCCCCCACCTAGGCATATGCCCTTACTGGGAATGAAACTGTGACCTCCTGGTTCATGGGTCCATGCTCAGCCACTGAGCTGCACCAGGCGATATTTTTTGAATGGACAAATAAATGAACAGATTATTCAATGCAGTCAAAAATATACTGAATCTTTTAAGTTCAGAAGTCAGAAAACTAGCAGAAATTTCAAGGATTAAAAAGAAAAACAAAAAAGATGCAATTCACAAACACAGCATAATTACAACATTATATCATAACACTTTCTCAGCTCCCTGCCTAAACACACCTTATTCTCGTTCTCAAGTCCCCTATCAACTAATCCTTGGTGAAGTGTTTAAGGTAAAAATGGCTAGGAGTAAGACTCCTCTCAAGCTAGAGATACTTCATTTAAAAGTTGGAACGAAGTTGGAAAGTAAGGGCAGTACTAAGTCACTACAGAGATTGCCTAAACTCACTTTTCACTAAGTCTCTGTTTGCTTTGAGGTGAATGGAGCATACAAACCTGCCTGTGCTGGCTGTTTTGTTTCTACCAAGCAGGCTCACTCAGGCTCAATCTGAGGAACCTATCCTCTGTATCATATTCTTAACTGTCATATCTCACTTCTAGAATTCCCATCCTAATTAAATAACTATAGGCTTGTCATAGCATCTCTATAATACATGGACTCCTGTTTTAAATAGGAGTTATACATTTCTGTATCATCAGTATAAAAATGATTATGACCTGAAATGGGGGGGGGGGGTTTTGAGAAGGGGAGGGACTAGATGAAGGGGATAATGGGGATGGGGATGGGAAACATCTGTAATACTCTCTACAATAAAAAATATATATGCCCTAACTGGTTTGGCTCCATGGATAGAGCATCATCCTGTGGACTAAAGGATCCCAGGTTTATTTATTATATATATATATATGAAAGAAAATGGTTGTAAGTGTATAAAATTTCAGCATCATCTGAAAGCACAGTAAACATTAGTAAGGAATAAGAACAGAGGTAAAAAATAAGTGGAGGCTTGAAAAAAGTGCTAATCAGTTACTGACATTGGGAAGAAAGGCCTATATCTGAAGCAAATAAATTTTAACAATTTTAATTGTATGTAAATTATTGCAGAATAATTTTGACTTGAAAAAAATAATTCCAACAAAGATGACAAAAAAAAAGTGTAACTTTTCACCTCTTATTTTGCTTCTCTTTAATCAAGATAAAATTATTATCAGATTGAAAGGCTTACAATAGACACTGGTAAAGACTTAAAGTTCAGAATATGTGAGAAGACTAATAAAACAGTGAATTAAAGTCTTTTGGCCCAGCAAATTTAATTACTTCCTAGAGTACTCAGAGACTTTACCAGTAAGATTACCATATGCATCTCTATATAGAAATGGAAGGAATCATTAAAAACTGGGGTGACATCTAAAAACAGTCAGACATATAAATTTATTTTCAATCCCACCTACTCATCCACTTCATCTCCGAAGCAAACTATTGGATCCAGGCATCAGTGAAGACAAGATTAATTTATTCAATAATTCTTTACCAAGAGAATATGACAATATCCTAAAAGCTATAGTTACTATCAAGGTGAAGGAGGCATAGAGCTTAAGTATAACAGAGGAGCTACACTGAGAGAGAGAAAAGGAATTAGATAAAACTGAATGGGACAGCACTGGCCATGCTGTTGGACTTGGAGGGTGAGTATGGAAAGTCCATCATAGTAGTCTGTCTACTTTATGTATAATTTAAATTTTCTACAATTAATTAAAAAGAAAACTCCAACTGTAGTTCATATTAGTGGGTGATGTGACCATTCTACTCTTCCTGAACTGGTCAGATCACACCTGCTACTACTATACACAGCTCTGCTTTAAGACAAACAGGTTCAAGAACAGATAAGACAGATGAGAAACAATGTAATAAGAACAAACAATAGTGTTCAAAGCATTTACCAGACGTGTACCACACAGGGTGGGGCAAAGGTAGGTTTATAGTTGCTCATATGGAAAATTATCCTACCTAATAAAAGAGTAATATGCAAATTAACCATCACTCCACTCCACCAGCCACACCCACAAGCCACGCCCACCAGCCAATGAGAATGAGTATGCAAATAAACCCAAGCAAGATGGCTACAGCCACAGAGAGCAGGAGGGAAGCATTTCCCTGGCAACAGAAGAAGCCAAGCTTTCCACCTGCCCTTGACGGCCTAAGCCTCCACTCAAGGCTACAAAGTTTCAATTATAGAAGGGACACAAATCCAAACAGAAATTATGGCAGCCACACAGCCAGCAGCAGGCTTGGCTCTGCTCCAAGCTACAAAGTTTCAATTGTAGAAGGTAAATATATTCCAGATACCAGGGCCTCCACTTGGGTCAGCTGGGGGGGGGGGGGGGGGGGGAGGAGGGCACGTAGCCAGCCTGCAAACCACCACAGCCCTCTCGCTCAGGCTTCCCCACGTTCCAAGGGAACCCCCACTCTGATCCA